AAAAAGCATACGAAATCCTAACCTCCGTGAAGCTCTAATATTCAAAATGTATGATTTGAAACAACCAAAAATAAAAAATAATTATTTTCACTGGGGGGACATATGCAGTAAAATTATGAGACAACAAAAAGATGAAATTTCTTTAAAAAAATTTGAAATTTAAATAAATGTATTACATTTTGTCGTTGATACTGTAAAATCAAAAATGTTGTAAAAAAATACAATAAATAGTAAAAAGCTTTAGATAGGACAAGTAAGTTAAGAAATTTAAAATGAAGAAGCTTAAGAAATACATAATTTGGTGCTTACTTTTCTTTTCCGCAATCTGAGATGTCAACAAAGTATCCAACAAGAAAAAGGTACAACACATTTAACTGCATCTTTACTAACAACTACAAATATTTACTAACAACAAGCACAACTGGTATGCATCACTAGATACTTAAACAAGAACTGGGAACAGACCACAGCTAGAGACTGATTGATGCAATTCCCAACGCAGAATTTCGTATTTATACAAAATCGCTCCCGCACTATTTTGCGGTTTTTGTATGTTGCGTCTCGGCGAAAAAAAACATCGGGCAAAATGAAATCTCGACCAGAAATGTTGACAATGGTTTTGTGCTTGATTTAATCCGCTTCTGATTCTTGAATGGATTCTGTTATGATTTGTTTGTTTGTTTGTGTGTTATGCTCATTTATGTAAGAATGGAGATAAAAGAAATAATTGTGCAATACATTTTTTTAATAACTAGGGTTGGAAATTCCCGTTCAATATTCTAAACAGTTGGGAAAGTAGAAATGTAGATAATTTAATTTGATTGTGCGTTTTAAAATGTAAATATTGAATTTTTTAATTAAATTAAGAACTGAATCAACAATACAATAATATTTTGTTATTGTTGAAAAAATATATTAATATTTTCTATTATTGTAAAATTTAGTTTTGATTTAGTAAAAGTAAAATTAGAAACGGTACAAATTTTAAAATGATGAAATTTTTTTCAAAACATAGGTTTAATTGGTGATAATTATCAATTGCGCACCATGGTCACTTTTTACCTGCCAGCATTAAATCCTTTAATTTAAAGGATTATTGTACTATTTTTAATAAAAATACTTTGTCAATTAATTAATTTAATCCTAATTGAGGTATAAAAAAATTATATTTAGATATAAATAATAATTATTATTGAGGTATAAAGAATTTATTTATACATAGTTTAGCATTATTTAATCAATTTAGTTCGAAGATTTATTTGCAAACAAAAAGAGCTCCTTTCGTTAAGCAGTTATTCATAATGGATTTTTTAACAGTGGAAGAAAAAACTCGATCTTTGGGATAGCCTTTAGTTCTTTCAGCGATGCGCAAAACGACGGCCCTTTAAGGTTCTCTTTATTTTTGGGAATAGGAAAAAGTCAGACAGAGGCATGTCTGGCGAATATGGAGGCTGGGGCATCATTACAGTATTGTTTTTGGCCAAAAATGTTTTTCAAAATTTAACAATTTTAGAACAAATTTTGCTGCCACGCGTTTCAAACCCAAAACATTCGAAAAAATTTCATGGGATGAGCCAATCGATACACCAATGTTTATAACCATTTCTTCCACTTTTTCCATGTTTTTATCGGTTGTTAATGCGCTTGTGCGTTCGGGGCGTTCGTCATCTTCAACGTCTTCACGGCCATCTTGGAAACTCTTATACCACTTGTAAACTCTTTTTTTACTTATACACTGAAAGAAATTTATGTTTCATATATGGACTACCACATACATTGCTAAAACAAACATATAATATATTTACCTTAACCATTTTTATATTTAGTTTTAACATATTATGTTAAAACTAAATATAATATATGTTTGTTTTAGCAATGTATGTGGTAGTCCATATATGAACCACAAAACATTGCTAAAACAAACATATATTTCTTTCAGTGTAGCAGACTCACTATAGGCCTTTGTTAACATTTCACAGAATTTATTTCATTTTTTAAGCAAAATTGGATTCAAATTCTTTGATCCATTTCTTTTAACGAACGAAAAATCTCCGAGCTCATAAAACACGTCTAACCTTAGCGGCTGCCACAGACAAAGTAAACAATGAAAACAGCTAAAGTTTTTATTTTACTTCGGGGGCATGTATACCAACATAATAAAGAAAATTTTATGACAACCGGACCCTCCGAACCCGCGAAATTTCACAATTCCAGTTATTTTCTGAACACACCTCGTATAATAAAATCAACTCGTTTAAAAATATTGACATCAATAAAGGTCCTTAATATTGACAATGAGAATATGAAAGTTAGCACTTTATATATTAAATAATTAATTAGGCTTAGTTAATATTAATGGGTTCTAATAAAGACATAATAATTAAAACAAATAAATTATAATAAAACATTATTTATTTTTGAAACAACAAATTAACAAGCAAAAACAAAAATATAAAATATTCAAACTTAAAACAATTAATTCATTAAAATTTAATAAATTACGTTTGTATAACACTGGGAGCCTTCTTCGGGGTAATTCTGTTGTACTTAAATCTGGAAAACTTGGTGGATTCGTCAGTGGTTTTCTGCGTTGTAGTTGAAGTTACAGTGACATCTTTTTTCAGTGAATCATTCAAATCCTTTTTGATGTCATTAAACAAAACCTTACTTTTGACAGCTTTGGAAGATTCATACATCTGCTCTTTAGCGATGGTGATTGGCGTCCATGGTGAATTTAGGTTTGCGTGTTTGGTATTAGTGTAGGCCAAACTTTCGTATTTATTGCTGGGGTTCGTTTTAGGTTTATCTGTGAAAGCGTTGTTGGTGACTTTAGTTGAAGCTGAAGCTAAAGCTTGATCGTTGGTGTTGTAGCTGTATAAACTGGTAGGTTCCTTTTGGGCTGAGAAAAAGTCCACATCTGAATCTTCTAGATTTGCTCTTGGTGAATCGAAATCGGCATCAAAGGCTTCTAGATTATCATGATCAATGTATTCTTCTTGGTTTTGGTGATCTTCGTAGTCACCATCAATTCGATAAGGGCCAAAATCGTCCGTAACTGGATATAACTCAATATTTTCATGGTCCAAGACATCGTCATGTTTGTGGTGTTTATCGTGGTGATTGTGTTTATGTTCGTGCTTGTGTTTTTGGTGATGGCCGTGTTTGTGGTGATGATCGGCGTGTACATGGTGACCGTGCTTGTGATTGTGACCGTGTTTGGCCTCGTGTTTGTGTTCGTGTTTTGCTTCGTGTTTGTGAGAGTGTTTGTGTTCGTGTTTATGACCGTGTTTAGCGTTATGGTGATGTTGGTGTTTCGCTTCGTGTTTGTGCGAGTGTTTGGCTTTGTGGTGATGATGGTGACTGGCGTCGTGTTTGTGACCGTGTTTGTGACCGTGGTCGTGCTTGTGGTGGTGTTTGTGCTCGTGTTTGTGAACTACAATGTGTTTTTTGCTGTGATCGTCATCATCATCGTCGCTTTCGTGTAGGGTGATTTGGTGATTTCTATTGAGGAACCCAAGTACATTCACTCGGCTGAAAGAAACAAATATAATATTCGGTGATTTTTTCACAAGGTGACTACTTACTTATCATGGTGACTCTCTGAGTATTGCACGCAATATCCAATAACAATAAAACAAAATATCTTAATATACATTATTATTGTTTTGATTTGGACAATTTTCACTACACTACTCTGCTACTCTATCTGATGATACTAGTAAGAAAGTCAATGTTAAACTGATTTATTCAATGTTAGCTCCGTTTTTTATATATTTCATTCCTACTTTCATCAAATTAAACTGATGATATTTACCCGTTGATAAAATTATGAATGGGACATTTTGACAAAAGTTTGCGGTCGTCTAATTTTGAAATGCTTTGTGATGTTTATTAAATTTGATTTCTATTAGAAACCGTACGAAAATTTATTTAGATTAATCCTAATTACTTTTATTGTAAGCCTTAACTGTGTTACTTTTAACAATATTAAAGCATAAGCAATTTTTGTGTAGTCCCTACTTTATTTTACACAATTCTAATACAAGAAACACCAGCTTTCAGGAAAATGAAGATCAAAATATTTTTTTGCTTAAATTGACTTTTGGTTGGATTTTTATAAATGTTTAGAGTTTTGTTTACTTACATTTAAGACAGGCAGTGCACTTTTTATTTTTTTTACGTTTTTTCAGAAAAATGTATTTAGCTAGCTTTATATACCTCCACTGTATTACCAATTTGAAATCCAAAATTTAATTCAATAAAAAAAGTTGTTATAAAAATAATTTGAAATAAAATGTAAAAATTTTTTATTTTATTTTTTATTAAAAATTGTATGCTTTTTTTAAATTTGTTCGTTAAGTTACTTTTTAAAAGAAACCATTCCGATTCTTTGTTAAAAAAAACAATACCATTAATATTTTCTTTTAGTCACTGTATTAGTGAATTAAACTCTAATTTATAAACACGTATTGCCAAGTGATAGTGTATAAAAATCATTTTAAGTATTTTTTTTTAACAAAAACTAAAAAAAGTAACGAAAAAGACATTGGTATCACAACGGACTGGGGTACACAAAGGACTTAATCAGATAACGTAAAAAAGAAACTATATAGGGTGGTACGATTGACACATGAAAGTGATTTGCTACAAATTCCTGAGTTAGAGCTGTAACATACCAACTATGGATTTTTAGTTTTGGGAAAAACTAAAACAAGTTTATAAAGATAACTTTAACAATTATTTGAAAAGATTAAAAATTACGGATGTAATCAGAGCTCTTGAAGAAATTAGAAGAACTTGAAATATTTGATTGGTTCTGTATAATCCATTGTGGGTTCTAAATAATGAGGATTTTTAAACTTTTTATAATTTAATTCATTTCTTAATTTCTTGCACTTTTAGAAGTGCAAATTAAAAGACAGTTATTTACATGATACATTTATTCATCAATAAAAACTAAACAACAATAAATATCAGCAGAAAAAAATTATAACAACCAATCAACCATTATTTTTAGAGGCACTCGAGTTCACCTCAGCATCATTACCATTAACAGTACTAACAACAGTAGTACTGGAAACAATAACATCTCTATCCAGAACCTTAACCTTAAAATCAGGCAAAGGTGTTACCTGGTGCTCAACCTTATTGGAAGCCTCATTTAAGTAATCATCATACTCTCCTTCCTTATGTTTGGTCCCGTAAGTTTGCTCCAAATATTTATTTAGTTCGTTGGAATTCCACTCGTATTTACCATCTGGTAAAGTCAACTTTTCTGCGTATTGTATTTTGGGTTCTGTGTAGTCATAGTCAGCATAGTTTTCAAGATCCTCCATGGAATTGTCTATGTACTCTTGGATGTGTTCTGGATGTTCATCGTCTGAATATTCATTTGTCGGTTCTTTATCTTCATAGTTTTCATATTCAGCGTCTTTATCATTTTCTAAATCTACAGGACTTAAAGTTGTACTTAGAAGGTTCTTAAACAACTTTGTCGTGGTATCTAAAGGATCATGTTCCATTACTTTGTAACCCTGAGATTGTCCACTAGCCCTCCAATGAGAATAATCTTTGTACCCTTCAGGCTTTTTCCTTGGAGAAACTTCTATGGGATCAGAAATGGTCTCAACTTGCGATTTAATGTTCTGAAACTTTGGCCCTTGCATTACCAAGCTCTCATGATGATGATGCTTATGACCATGGACTTGTTTTTGCTTATGGACGTGCTTATGCTTTCCCATATGCTTGTGCTGATTGTTATGCTTGTGATGGTGTTCTGCCTTGTGCTTGTGATGATGCTTGTGGCCGTGCTTATGCTTATGATCGTGATCGTGCTTATGACCTTGTCGGTGATGGTGACCGTGTTTGTAAAGTACGACTTGTTTTTTGTGACCGAGACTAAGTGAGAGGTAGTTTGGTTGTTTTAGAGGGATGTGGATTTTAATGTGGACCCTAAAAAAGATATATTGTTAAACATGATTGTTGGGACGTATAGAACCTACTTACTTATCTTCAGCATCGCATTTTGTTGCCTCCAAAATATACCCAAGGAAGAACAAGTTAATCAAAAATGTTAACTGCATTTTTACCCCTTATTAAATAAACACTGCTGTGCAGATCAGTTATATGTTTAAAGGTAACACTTCTACTGCGCAATAATGCTAAAAAACAATTTTATATTACGTTCGATTACCCCAACTTTACTTTTAACAAATCGTATGCGGTTTATTCTATTATATTGCAAAATATTTTCTATTGCATTTGTGGTCTATAATGTTGAATTATTTAATTTCCCGTTTGCTTTGTAGGACTTATAACCGATGTAATTTAATTTGTAAAAATTGACAAAATTATTCATTAGTAGTTTATTCAATGATTGAAAAGTTCTATTGTGATTGTTTTTACTATGAAATTATAAATACAACCAAGGTAAGTATGAAAGTTATTTTAAAATTGTTTGCGATAAAATAATAGTTTTATTTTTATCCTGTACAATAAACAATGTAAAATGGTATGGACTCTACGAGGTGTGTTCAGAAAATATCGGGAATTTTCGTTTTTTAACACAAATATTTATTTATTCGTCTACATTAATGTATAGTCCCCATTGGATATTATGCACATGTGCCAGCTCTTCTTCCAATACTCGAAACACTTCTAAAACTCGATCTTTGGGATAGCCTTTAGTTCTTTCAGCGATGCGCTTTTAATGTCATCTATGCTTGCAAAACGACGGCCCTTTAAGGTTCTCTTTATTTTTGGGAATAGGGAAAAGTCAGACAAAGGCATGTCTGGCGAATATGGAGGTTGGGGCATCATTACAGTATTGTTTTTGGCCAAAAATTTTGTTCAAAATTTAACAATTTTAGAACAAATTTTGCTGCCAAGCGTTTCATACCCAAAACATTCGAAAAAATTTCATGGGATGAGCCAATCGATATACCAACATCATCAGCGACTTCTCTGATGGTTTATAACCATTTCTTCCACTTTTTCCATGTTTTTATCGGTTGTTAATGCGCTTGTGCGTTCTGGGCGTTCGTCATCTTCAACGTCTTCAGGGCCATCTTGGAAACTCTTATGCCACTTGTAAACTCTTGTTTTACTTATGGAAGACTCACTATAGGCTTGTGTTAACATTTCACAGAATTTATTTAATTTTTTAAGCAAAATTGGATACAAATTCTTTGATCCATTTCTTTTAACGAACGAAAAATCGCCGAGCTCATAAAACACGTCTAACCTTAGCGGCTGCCACAGAAAAAGTAAGCAATGAAAACAGCTAAAGTTTTATCATACTTCGGGGGCATGTATACCAACATAATAACGAAAATTTTATGATAACGTGACCCTCCGAACCCGCGAAATTTAACAATTCCCGTTATTTTCTGAACACACCTCGTATAATTGATTTCAAACATAACATAATTTTTATTCACCTCAGGGTAAAATTTGGTAAATTGGGATCGGTTAGATTAAGAACAGTACAAGTCCAAAAGTTAAAATTTTGATAATGATTTTAACTATTTTATAAAATATAATATTACTCCTTAATCCAGTAAAAATCTTTCAATATGGTAAATTGAAATCTTTAAAAACGTTTTACTGTTAATTCAAAAATAAGTACATTTTTATTTGCCAAATAGATAAACCTAAGTAGGTTTCTTAAATTATAATGAGTATTTTTATAAACAGCCTTATCCTAACAAAAGTCACATAGACTTAAATCTGGATACAAAGCAGGTCACATATTCTTAACTGAAAGTTAATTCAGTTAATTCCCATTTTACAATATGCAAGAGTTTTCATCTTGGTTGCCAATTGAAGAACAAATTAAATACAATTATGTTACAAATCTAATACACGATTTTTCTACTTTTATAAAATCTAGTAAAAATCTTTTAATATGGTAAATTGAAAACTTTAAAAACTGCTAATTCAAAAATAAGTAAATGTTTATTTGCAGAATAGATAAACCTAATAAATAATGAGTATTTTTCTTAAACTATCCTAAATTTGTATCACAGTTAGTGAGGCCAGTGGAATGGTTTTCCTCCATGGCTATGGTGTTCTTCTTTCTCATGATGCTTATGGTGGATGACCTTTATAACCTTATGGTTGTGTTCGTGGGTATGCACTGGGTAATGGATGATGAATTTTACATGATGGTGACCACTAAAAAAATAAAAATAGTTTGTATTTATTAAATGATGTCTCTATCTAATTAGAGGTTTTTAAACCACAAAATGAGTAACCAATTCTACATAATATAAATTCTTAATTAATATGTTTAATTAGCATTTAGATGCGGTTAGTTTAACATAATAATTTACCTGAAAACATATCTTTTAACATGATTACAGCAATAAGGAAAATATGGAATATTATTGCATTAAGCATAAACGTTGGTTTCTTTGTATCCAATTATAATTATTAGGAAGTTTTTAAAATTAATTGATATTACATAGTTTTCTACAGTTTATTAGGTACAGCTTTTAGGAAGTAGTGTAAATTTGTTCAGTAACATTAAAAAAAATACTAAAAATGTTTAGTAATTTACGAATGATGGTATTGTAATTATCTTAGAAAATAACCTGCAATTTTCTTAGTTTCTTCAAGAAACTTTCTTGGCCCATTACTGTAAAGATTAAAAAAATTGAACCTTCACCTCGCCAGGGTTTTTGTTTTAAGTGCGTTCCACCAACTTCAAATACCGACAGACAGCTAGACAGATAGACCTATTTTGGGTCTTATCAATGTCGGGCAATTTGGTGTATTGAAACACACCAAAAACGAAAGACACCTGAGCTTATATACTGTCCACCTAAGTCAACCGAGGCGAGATGTAAGAACATCACGTGATTGCCGCAATTGGTACATACTATGCATTTTACATGACATTATAGCAAATCAAATTACAAACCACGTTTGTAAATCTGAAATGCTTTTTATTAAAAACTGTCAAGCTGTTTATTAAAATTACAATGCGTGTAGGATTTATACATATAGATTGTAAAATTACAACTTATCTTAGTAGATTTCCCAACATATCTTGGAAGATTAATCAAATTGTATTATAATTTTTTATTGGTATACACTGATTTGTAATTTTACTCATCTTTTGTTTTGCAAAACAATTGTAATTTTACAAAAAAAATTTAACAGTGCACATTATTAAAATGATATATAGTAAAAATGCAAACAGAAGTTGTATAAAATAAATAATGATTTGTACATTTCCAAACACTTATTGTAATTCAAATAGCAAATTTTGGATAGGAATTTTATTGAGAATCTTAGTAAAATTAAATTCCAAATATGTATAAAAATTTTACAAAATTTTAAATTCAATTCTACAATAAAGAATTGATGCGTTTTAAAATTTACAAACTAAAAAAAAATCTTACCCGTGTCCACCAGCTTTGACCCTAACAAACGAAAACATCACCATACAACCCCACAACAACTGAAAAACATTCTTAATTAATACAAAAAACCTCCACTAAACAAAACAAAACAATAATGCGCAATCATCTTACCCAAGTCACTAGATTCATTTTCGCAGGAGTTATGATTTGCTCGTTTGCAGGCAAACTTGTAATTCCGGCGATTGTTTCTCTGGTTTATATATATGAAGGGGAGAAGCATGGTTTGTAATTTGAAAAATTAAGGCGGGCAATATGTGCATGCAATACGTATTTTGTATCTTTGCCATGTTAGCGAAACGAGCTCTCTCTTTCCTAAAATCGAAAATTTGAAATGTATCGTTAGGATTTTTGTGCTTACATACATGTACCTATGAGAAATGGATAATTATTTACTTAATGACAATGTTAGGAAATAAATTAAAGGTTTTAAAAAATAGCGGTTGTTATGGAAACAAAAAAATAAGAATAATAAGCGTAAAATTTATACTGTAAAGTTTCCATAAAAATAAAAAAATACTTTATAACTTTTGACGACATTTTCGTATTCAGCGAATAATATTTCATAGGAATTGACTGCTAAATGTCCTGGACACAAATTGCTGTTGACGAGAATTATTAGTGGCTGCTTTTTCGCTATGACATTTTTGACTAATTCATTTTTAGAGAGTAAGTAATATAGTGATTTCTTCGTCACAGGACATCTTGCAGAATAACAGTTATTTAAATACAGTGCATGATAGAGAACATAAAAAACTAATGGCAACAAAATTAATAAATTCGGAAAATACTTTTAACATACCACCTGAAAAAATATAAGATATGTATAAATCATCCTGTACCGGCCTAAACATTATAAATGCTTCACAAACTAGAGATACCACACTTATGATATTTGCAACAAACTATTTCAGAAGTCAAACCAAGGAATTAGTAGTACCTTCAGAATCCAGAAAAGGGATGAGGAATCCGAGAAAGAAATATATGACTTATATGATATTTACAAAACTTCTTAAAAGTATCATATTAATATTTTAACTCTTCAAACAAAAATTGATTTTTTAATATTCGCCAATTAACCCAAATTTTACCTAAAAAAAGAAAAATAAAACATGAAATGTTTATACCACTTAATTTATTGCTCCAAATACTTATTTATTAATTAACCTGCGGTTTTACAATAATTGCAAAAACAACAAAACCAAAAATTCTTGCTTAATTCGTGTCGACAAATTAATGTGCAAGTGTAGAATGTTGTTATTGATTGGTCCAAATCTTTAATTTGTTCATGTACTATTTATATGCAAAATAAACTAAAATAAATAAAATTTGGGGCTACACAAATTGTCACATTTTGTTTAAATCATAAAACAAAACCTTCGCAATTTTTTCCCTCTAACTACTCACTATAAAATCTGCAATATATGCAATAATACTGATTAAGAAATAAGGATATTTTGTTTTGAAAATTAAAAATATTAGTTTAATTCTTGTAATTATTAAATTACATAGGTTCGAGATTCCTTGTTATGCAACCAATGAAAGTAAGAAACGCTTTAAATTAAATTGTAGCGTTATAAATTACTTAAAACTTTTATATTACAAATTACGGTATAAGTGAGTTTTTTTTGCAAAAATATTTAAGCCTAGACTTAGATCATTGTTGCGTAATACAAATGTTACATATTTAGGAAAACATATATGTAAATCAATCATGTCATAAACTTTAGGTTAAGTTTACAACCAAATGTTATCTGTTAAATAATTAAACAAAAAAATTAACACATACCTACATAAATAAACATAATAATAACATACACACAATGTGATATTTTGATATTTTGATCTTTCATAATTAAGTAGATATTACAGCTCAGGTTCCAGATTTTTAAACGCAATTAATTATTTTTTACAATGTTTTAAAAGTCTAAAACCTATCCTCCGTGACTGGTACTCTTTCTAGGTTAACCTACATGTTTTCAAATATCTGAGGTAGTAAAAGCATACCAAAAATATCACTTCACTAAGTAAATTAAACACATCCAAAGCAATCGAATCAAATATAAAATATTATTAAAATATAAAAGAAATAATTTTTATAACCATTTATGTAGGTTTTGCAAAAATTGACTCTATCCTCCGTGAATCTGTTTTTGCTTTAAATTTTATGCAACGGATGGCGCTTTAATCGTTTTAAATAAGCAAAAACTTCTGTTTACGACATTATAGATGCAAGTGATTCCTGAAGGTCAAAAAACCCATTCTAGACTAACAGTGAAACAACCAAAAGAAGAAATTTACAAATTATTTAATATGAATAGAAAAATATCTTTATTGAAATGATATTACAAAGTATAGCTACAAAGTCATGCTTTTTCAAGAAAATTAACTATATTAACCGAAACAAAAACAAATATGCACTAAAAATATACTTATTATCTATTGCAATGCAGAAACTATCTCTTCAGGTAAATTAACTTTACTGTGCACTAATACTTCCAAAGCTGTTGCTATTCGTTCCAAAGCGTTGACTTTGGCCCATTTGACTTCCACCAGTTCCTTGTCATCTTCCTCTTTCTTATTTGCAATCACATTTGGAGGCCCTTCTACAAGTGAAACCAACAGGTAGCAATCCTTTGGCACGGTTTTCGTATTGGCAAGTGGAATCAACTTTGGAGACTCTATTAAGGTCAAAGACTGAGGGGAATTGAATGACATGGAAGCCATTTGCTTGCTGCTGTACAAAGGGGGCATAGGTCTGGTAGTGGAGGTGGACGAGACGGAATCGGCAGTGTAATGATCTTCTGGAGGCTCTACTTTCGGAGTCACTTGCATGGTGTCCGAGTCAGAAATTTCTTCAGGGAATGCACGGCACATTTTCTTTTCCCTGCAGCGAAGATCTTGCCATAGCTTACGCCATTGCCTCCAGTTCTTGAAGCTGCCTCCTGGAACCGCGTTCAACGTCTCAGTAAGCTCCATCCACAGCTTTTGAGCGTTCTTGTGCGTGAAGTTTCTCGAGAATTTCCCCATCGACAGAGAAATATGCCGCCTCATGTAACTGTAGAGCAGCTTCTTCTGCTGCGGTATAACGGTTTTGGAGCGATTCTGAGCCGACTCCATCTTTTTTCGTGCACGAAAGTTTCGCTCGTCAGAATTGACAGACGACTTTTTCTCGTTGACGTTTATTACTTTAATTTGCAGTTCAATGTAATAAACATACTTCCCTAGAGACGGGTGCCATAGAAATCAAAGTTGTTTATACCATACGTAGACATTATATTATCTACTACTCTAAACTATGATAGTTTTTTCAATTTATTAAATCGTATCAAATATCGAATTGGATTATAGTATTATTGTGCTTAATCCTCATCATCGTCGTGCAAATTCTAGCAAATGTCTCCTAGCAATGAATCCAACTTCTTTCCGCTATACCATAGATATCTACCGATGCTCTAGATTTGCACTTACTTGGTGAAATCGTTCTCCATGTTCATCAGTTCGGCAAATTTATCAGGATGAAAAAAAGAAAATGTATTTTAAATGACATATTAACGCTAATTCTTTGCAAAACGGAAAGCATTTTTTCAATGAATAGGCCCGATATGAACCAAGAACATTTTCAATGACAGCTTTAACACTGCCATATGCGACAAGCTCGTCAACTTTGAATGCTTTTTATTTCATTAAACGTGGTATATCAGGCCCATTTAATATTCCTGCAAAATTAAAGTAGTAGGTATATCTCATAAAATTTTGTAATGAAATATTGCGTTGGTTTTTCTTGGGCGTAAAGGTACCGCAACAAAAACAAAACAAATTTACAACGACGACATAAATGTTCGTCTTCTTTCTCTTTCTCTGCCACTTCCATTACCACTTCAATTTAATGCTCTTTTTTCGTTTTTGGTTCTTAAAATCACTTTCAAGTAAAAATACAATTTAAAGTTTAAATTTTAAATGTCAATAATTAATAGATGCACTTTAGTGTGCTTGAACGATAAAGTAGATTAAGGCGCCTTTATACTTAAATTCGATATTAAATTTTGATAAGACTTGATAAATAAGATTTGAGATTAAATTTTTGGGTACCTTAGGCATGATGTGAATAAAAACATATCAAATAATAGTCGAAGAGTAATGCTTATACCGAAACCCATTTACTTTGTTGCCTTTTCAATTTAATTAGCAATTAAAGAAACGACACAAAAATTTCAAAAAATGATACATTTACCAAAAAAACATTATAATTTTAGTTTTGGTATTTAATAAAGCACTTATCTGCAGAAAAGTGCTTTATTAAATATCCCTTATAAAATACTACTATAGTAAACGGCTACAATGGAACAAACAAATTTTCCATTTGACATTTATCTACCGATGACTTTGAATATTTTTGACAAAAAACGTCAAAAATATACTGAACGTCCAAAATAGATTTAAGGCAAAATAATTTAATAAATAATAAAAATATTAACGAAAAACTTACATTTTGAGGTAATTGAGCAGAGCATTTTATTACGCAATTATTTCGAATCCTAGACGTCCTGGAGCAAAACGAGTGGCATTTTTGAAATCAGCAGCCCAAAATTAGGTAATAAAGGTGGGCGTACTCAATGTTAGTAATTCGAACTATCATAGTGTAATTAACAACCTAACCATTACATAACAGGCTCACTGGATTAAATTATTAGAATAAAGTGTGCATGACTCGTTTAAAAAGTAAACATGCCCAGTGAAAGAAACGTCAGTCAAAATAAAAGGCGGCATCTTATTTCCTTCTACAGGTCCACCTTGCTTTTACCATATCTATGTAGTACTTCTTTATTATATAAGCACTTTATTAATATGCATGTAGAGACCGGATTTGATATAGAACATTTTCATAACAACTTTGCATATTTTAGCCTTTTGGTGTTGCATATAATTCGGTCTTTAGTAATTAGTTAAATCTGCTTTGGGGTACATAAAAATCTACTTATATACTATAATAATATACTATAATATATAGTAAACATGAAAATCAAACTAAATTATTAATTTAGATACCTATGTATTCAGCGACTTATACTAAAAATATGGCAAATAGAATACATAAACTCAATATGGGTCTCCTTCCGCTGTCCGTAAGTTTGAATTCCAATAACTTTGTTAAAAATTATCGGATCTTATTGATTTAACAACCAAGTGAAAGCCTAACAAGCCCTTAGTAAACTCTTTCAGAAAATGTTTGTTTAGTTGTTTCAGAATAACTTTTTTTTTAATTTTGAAACTTGTGAAACACATATTTTCGCATGTCCCATTAGCGTTTTATAAAACCTTCATACATGTTTTTTTAAATATTGAATAACCAGAACTTTGTGTTGCTTTATAGCAATCCATAACATCCTTAGTTAATACAGTAAACAATTTATATATAAAATAATTAATTTTAATCTACTTTTTTTAAATTTGACTCATGTCCCAAACATTTTTTCCGTTGCGTTACGTCCGTCGCGTTACCGATAGAATATTAAAAAAAAACATATATATGGCAACTTTTTTGGCACTCACGTGATCAACAAATGATGTTCGGACGTACACATTACCCAGCTGAATTTATTTATTCAATCAGGAAGAAGATATCGGTTGAAACAGGTGCGGGTAACGCGAATGTAATAATTGTTTGTCCGCTAAGTTACTCAAAAAAATAATAGAAATAAGGTAAGAAAAAATACTATTTTTCATGTTTATGTTTATTTTAGGGCACTAAAGCTCATTGAAAGTAATTAATAACTATAATGTCTTATTATTATTTTTTAAATATGGTTTTACAAAACTTTGTCCACTGCGTTACCGAGTCCACTATGTTACCTTATGGTAACGCAATGGAATTTAGGGTAACGCAATAGAATTTTTCGACAACAAAGTGGATATTTACCGTCACTTTTATTAAAAGTAGTTTATGATGAACCAATTTAAAATTATTTGTAATTACAACTCATGATATAGATTACATCCAAGGAAAAATTCCACGCAATATAAAAGTACTAGTACACTAGTACAAGTACACCAGCTTATAGTCAAAGAAAAAGGGTGTCTACAATTTAGAAATCTAAGTTGTTATTCTGCAAGTGAGCACCACTACAAGGGATTTTGTTTATGCATTACTCTAAAATCGTACCACCCTATATAGTTTCTTTTTTACGTTATCTGATTAAGTCCTTTGTGTACCCCTGTCCGTTCTGATACCAATGTCTATTTCGTTACTTTTTTAGTTTTTGTTAAAAAAAATACTTAAAATGATTTTTATGCACTATCACTTGGAAATACGTGTTTATAAATTAGAGTTTAATTTACTAATATTAATGGTAATGTTTTTTTAACAAAGAATCGGAATGGTTTTTTTTAAAAGTAACTTTACGAACATACATATTTAAAAAAAAAGCATACAATTTTTAATAAAAAATAAAATAAAAATTTGGAGTCAAAAGTTTCTGAACTAAGTACATTTTATTTCAAATTATTTTTATAACAACTTTTTTTATTGAATTAAATTTTGGATTTTAAATTGATAACACAGTGGAGATATATAAAGCTAGCTAAATACATTTTTCTGAAAAAAACGTAAAAAAAATTAAAAAGTGCACTGCCTGTCTTAAATGTAAGTAAACAAAACTCTAAACATTTATAAAAATCCAACCAAAAGTCAATTTAAGCAAAAAAAATATTTTGATCTTCATTTTCCTGAAAGCGGGTGTTTCTTGAAAATGACCCAAATACCTACTCACCTATTCGGAAAAATAATATTTAATTATTACTCACCAGAAATGTGGTACTAACCTCACAATGATACACTTCCCAATACTAACTAAAACTGCAATCTGATGATGCAGATTGCAGTTGAGCGACCGGCCGGCGTCTTATTTCAAGAGGGAAATCATTTCATTGGTTATCCTAAGTGGTGTGATGCTTCACACCCGAACAAATGGTCCACTATAATTGTAAAATTTATATTTTAACTCAAAGTTATATTTATACGAATTATTAAAAAAGTTGTTGACAATATTGTGCAAATGGTTAAATAAAAAATAATACTGTTTCCAACAAATTATAAAAAATTGACTTTATTTATGACTTTTATAACTTGTACATTCTAGATTGTAAAAACATCCCACTGTAATTCAAGGCACCTCACTTACATTAGGACAGGTTTTGTACCGTTAGAGCGTCTAATCATATCTAATCTCATGCGATGCATCTTGTTGATGTCGATGTCTCCTAATGCGCCACTTTTTAACTTGGTAATGTGGTCGGAGACTTGACTTTCGTGTCGAGATTTCCAACTACTGGGTGGTCGCAGGGTGGAAGAAGACTAAAATAAAACAAAAAAAGTGTACTTTGAATGTGTATTTTTTCAACAATGTACAAAATGCTTAAACATACGAGGTGTGTTCAGAAAATAACAGGAATCGTTAAATTTCGCGGGTTTGGAGGGTCCGATTGTCATAAAAAAAATTTTATTATGTTGGTATACATGCCCCCGAAGTATGATTAAAACTTTAGCTGTCTTCATTGTTTACTTTGTCTGTGGCAGCCGCTAAGGTAAGACGTGTTTTATGAGCTCGGCGATTTTTCGTTCGTCAAAAGAAATGGATCAAAGAATTTGTATCCAATTTTGCTTAAAAAATGAAATAAATTCTGTGAAATGTTAACATAGTGAGTCTGCTATAAGTAACAAGAGTTTACAAGTGGTATAAGAGTTTCCAAGATGGCCGTGAAGACGTTGAAGATGACGAACGCCCCGAACGCACAAGCACATTAACAACCGATAAAACATGGAAAAAGTGGAAGAAATGGTTATAAACCATCAGTTGCTGATGATGTTGGTATATCGATTGGCTCATCCCATGAAATTTTTTCGAATGTTTTGGGTATGAAACGCGTGGCAGCAAAATTTGTTCTAAAATTGTTAAATTTTAAACAAAATTTTTGGCCAAAAACAGTACTGTAATGATGCCCCAGCCTCCATATTCGCCAGACATGCCTCTGTCTGACTTTTCATATTCCCAAAAATAAAGAGAACCTTAAAGGGCCGTCGTTTTGCAAGCATAGATGACATTAAAAGCGCATCGCTGAAAGAACTAAAGGCTATCCCAAAGATCGAGTATTGGAAGAAGAGCTGGCACATGTGCATAATATCCAATGGGGACTATTTTGAAGGCTACAACATTAATGTAGACGAATAAATAAATATTTGTTTCAAAAAATGAAAATTCCCGATATTTTCTGAACACACCTCGTAGATGTAATAGTATCATCTAGAAAAATATATGTCCCATTACTAATATACAAAGAAAACTCACATTTCTATTACCCTTATTTGCCACCTTTCTATACCTAGCCGAATATTTTCTTTTGGTTTTCAAAGGAACCCAACTATTGCTGTCTATCTTCTTTGTGATAGTTTTGGTATCATTGGTTACTTCACTAAAATCATCTTTGATAAATTCTGTGGTTGCTTCATTCACAAAAATAGGCTCTCCAATCCACTTGGTAACTGGATTTTTAGTTGCCTCTTCAGGAGACGTATAGTAAGTATAAGTTGGATTCAAAGGATATGTAACATGGTCATCATATGAAGAAGTTGATATACTAAGAGATTCTATATTAGATTCAGCTTGTGGAGATTTAATTGTTTGATAAGGATGATATACTTTAGGTGAGAGATTAGAATTCGTATAAAATTGTGGTATTTCTTTAAGCAAAGGACTTCTAATAGGACCTGAACCAAATATTGGCCTTTGTCTTATGGGTTTAACTTTGAAATGATAATGTGGAGGATTTATGCTTGGAGGTCTAAATCTATTATTTGGGGGAGAAAATATACCATGAAACAAAATATCTGGAGGTAATGGTTCAGGGGAGTAAAATATTCGTCTTTGAGGTTTTAGAGGTTGCCGTCTGTAACGCGAGGGGAAATTTTTAAACTGTGGTTCTATTTTACTAAATATACGTTTTGTATTATTATTTTGATGACCTTCATAATCGTCATCAACAAGAATGAATACGTCTTGTTCATCTTTAATTTTGTCATCTAAAAATATTGTTATGGTAATATTGACTCTGCAAATTTTGTTGTATACTGACCTGATAGAAGAACGCTATCACTGTCATTCCTTCTAAAAAAAGGTGGATGTAAAAAACCATTCATTAAGTTAAAACTTTCATCATGATCATACATCATAGTTTTCTTAAATTCGAAATGAGGTTGCAAACAATGTTTCAAATATTTCTTCTTAATTTTCTTGAGCTTCTTCCTTTTCTTCCTCTTCAATTTTTTAAATTTGTGTTTACGTTCTTCAAACCTTTGTGGTTTCTGCATATAAGTTGGCATTGGTCTGTAATTAAACCGATGATTCTGAGGTTTCAAAAAATGCATTTGAGGTTTATGGTGGTTAAAATTTGGTAATTGAGGTTTAAAGTTAAACTGTGGTGTATCAAACTCTCTACTTGGTATTTCATCTTTGTATTCATATTCATATTCAGCCTCATTATCATCTCCAGTCGATACTGCCACCAATAGTCTGCTAAATACATTAAAAAATAAATAAATTATTCTCCATAAAGAAAAAAAAATTAAAACTTACTCTTCACTTTTAATCCCGATAACTAAAACAGTAATCGAACAAAAACACGCACATAAAAATAATTCTGAACTTATCATGGTTGATTATGAGTACGACTATTGGATTTTTTTGAGTCACAATAGTTTTTATATCTTTAAAAATTGTATTACCCACTTAAATCCGGATTTTTTTAGTCCATGTCATGCCGTCGAACTGTTTTTTAAATAATTATTAATGTAACTGTTTTGTTTGTTTATTAATATAAGTACAAGTTTTGTTTATTTATTAAACCTTAATTTTTAATAGTTTATATTATTACTTGAAAAGATTGGTACCTTATGTCCCCGCACTGTTATTTTTTAAACGAAAAAAGGATCGACATCGGACAAAAACCATTGTAAAGGATATTAAGTATACTACTTTTTGAAGGCAAATTGATAGATAGAAAATTCAAATGTAGATTGTTTATCAGGTATTTCGATTCTCTATTCTATGCCTTCGATTTAATTTTTTTAATTCCGTTTAATGGTTGTAGTAATTGAGCATTTTAGTTTTTCAAATTAATAAATCTTAAGTGTCAATTTAAGATAGAATAGAAATATTAAGAAGGTCAATTTAAGCTGGATATAACTGTCTTAAAAGCTGTTTTAAGAATGTTAATTTAAGATAGAATATATTCTATAAAACAATTAAAAATATATATATAAAAATATTTAATAAAGCTAGATATAACTGTATTAGGAACTGTTTTAAGAATGTCAAATTAAACTAGATACAACTGTCTTAAGAATATCAATTAAAAATATAATAGAAACAATAAGAATTTCTATTTAAGCTAGACAATTTTTTAAATGTTCATTTAAGGTAGTATACAACTATTAAAAATAACAAATTAAGCTAGATATAACTGTATTGGCAACTGTAACAAATTAAGCTAGATATAATTGTCTTAAGAACTGTTTAAGAATGTCAATTTAAAATAGAATAGAACTATTAAGAATGTCAAATTAAGTTATATAAAACTGTTTAGGAAACTGTTTTAAGAATAACAAATCAAGCTATAAAAAACTGTCTTAAAAACTGTTTAAAGAATCTTAATTTAAGATAGAATAGAAAAAATGTCCATTTAAGATATAATAGAACTATTAAGAATGTCAAATTAAGCTAGATATAACTGTTTAGGAAACTGTTTTAAGAATGACAAATTAAGCTATGAAAAACCGTCTCAAAAACTGTTAAAGAATGTCAATTTAAGATAGAATAGAAAAAATGTCCATTTAAGATAAAATAGAACTATTAAGAATGTCAAATTAAGCTAGATAAAACTGTTTAGGAAACTGTTTTAAGAATGATAAATTAAGCTATAAAAAACTGTCTTAAAAACTGTTTAAAGAATGTCAATTTAAGATAGAATAGCAAAAAGGTCGTTTAAGATATATTAGAACTATTAAGAATGTCAAATTAAGCTAGATATAGCTGTCTAAGAAACTGTTTTAAGAATGACAAATTAAGCTATATATAACAGCATTAATAAATGTTTAAAGAATGCCAATTTAAGATAGAATAGAAAAAATGTCCGAGATATAATAGAACTATCAAGAATGTCAAATTAAGCTAGATATCTGTTTAAGAAACTGTTTGAAGTATGACAAATTAAGATATAAAAAACTGTCTTAAAAACTGTTTAAAGAATGTCAATTTAAGATAGAATAGAAAAAATGTCCATTTAAGATATATTAGAACTATTAAGAATGTCAAATTAAGCTAGATATAACTGTTTAAGAAACTGTTTAAAGAATGACAAATTAAAATATAAAAAACTGTCTTAAAAACTGTTTAAAGAATGTCAATTTAAGATAGAATAGAAAAAATGTCCATTTAAGATATTACTATTAAGATTGTCAAATTAAGCTAGATATCTGTTTAAGAAACTGTTTGAAGAATGACAAATTAAGATATAAAAAACTATTAAAAACTGTTTAAAGAATGTCATTTTAAGATAGTTTAGAACAAATGTCCATTTAAGATAGAATAGAGTTCTAATGACAAATTAAGCTATAAAAAACTGTCTTAAAAACTGTTTAAAGAATGTCAATTTAAGATAAAATGAAAAAAATGTTCATTTAAGATAGAATAGAACTATTAAGAATGTCAAATTAAGCTAGATATAACTGTCTTGGGAATTGTTCTAAAAATGACAAATTAAGCTATATATAACTGTCTTAAGAACTGTTTAAAGAATATCAATTTAAGATAGAATGGAAAAAATGTCCATTTAAGATAGAATAGAACTATTAAGAATGTCAAATTAAGCTAGATCTAACTGTCTTAATAACTGTTATAAGAATGTTGAGTTAGGATAGAATATATTTTATAGAACTATTAAAAAATTCCAATAATGTTAGATATAACTGTCGAAGAAAGTTTTAAGAATGTCAAATTAAGCTATATATGACCGTCTTAAGAACTGTTTCAATAATGTCACATTAAGTTAGGTTTAACTGCCTTTTTTTGCAATGTCAATTTAAGAACTAAATTTAAGAGAGAATAGAACTTTTAAAAATATCAAATTAAGCTAGATATATCTAACTGTCTTAAGAACTGTTTTAAGGCTGCGGTTTATATTTAAACCCCAAATTCAGGACACCTGGAAACCCTAATATAAGGTAAATTGTATTTCAATAAAATAAAAACACAAAATAACTGTCTTAAACATTTATTTAATCAATAAATAAATACAACTTTTATTACATAAATATTAGGAAATAAAATTAGTAGGTAGTACAGTCTTGTGTAAATAAGTCATTTGCAGTCGTTAATAAATAAAATTATGGCAAGAATAAAACCTAAGAAATAAATAACTTTGGCGGTTATTCAATCCAAATAAATAAATAAATACTTTCGTAGTTGAACTACAATGTAAATAATATAAAAAATAATAAGTTATCTCGGTCAGTTTTTAACTGACAGACTCGGATGGTTTTTCCTGTTGGGTTTTTTTACTGCTTTTTGTTTGTCTCTGGGTTGGTCGATGACTGCTGCTGCTGCTGCTGCTGCTGTTGCTGATGCGGTTGCAACACCTGGTACATAGGACGGCTGTAAAATTCTGAAGCTGGAATCGGCTGCTCGAATTTGTTATCCGAGGCGGCAGGGCAGAAGCAGGGCACGTATTGCACGCCCTCTATACTGGGAGCCGCATTGAATTGCTGATGAGCTTGACTGGGAGCAGAATACTGACTGGCAGAATACTGACTGGCGGAATACTGGTTGTTGGAGTATTGGGGGGAAGAGTAAGCGTTCTGGGGTGGCCCTTGCATTGGAACTTGCTGGTATTGGGGGTCAGCTTCGACTAGCAGGACCGGACCGGGCAGAATTCTTCTAGGGTAGACTTGAAGGGTGTGTTGTGGACTACTGCAATTTAAATTCAGATTTCTTAACATGAGCTTGTACTTTGTTAATTTTATAAATATTTTATTATTGTTATTCGGATTTCTAATACCTTTAAATTTAACAAACATTTTTTACTGTGTAACTGTATTATAAAGTCAACTTAAGCAAGAAATAACTGTCTTAATTAAGAATGTCTGCCTATTAACTGACGTTTCAATAATAATGACAATGTGCTCATTTTAAAACACAATGGTAAGTACAGTCGGTCAAAAAAGTCTCCATACAGTTAAAATTTTTTTAAACAAAATGCAATTAAATATATTTTTGCTTTTGGAAATAAAAAATATTTCTTGAAAAGTAACCACAGCATCATTATTAACTAATAAGAACAAAATAACAGTCAAAATATATTTTATTATAAAATAAGAATATAAGCAATACGTTATTTGAGAAATTAACATCAAAAATGTTTCCATACACTAACTTTTACCTATTGATATAATTAATAAAATTGAATACTTATTGGCTTAACCATTATTAACTAAAAGTTTAATACTTAGTAGCATAACCATTAGCTTTAATAACCTCTCTTAATCTGTTTGGCATACTTGACACTAATTTTCTTGTTATTTCGGGTGTGATGTTATTCCATTCTTCCATAATTTTATTTTTTAGAGTCTCCTTATTAGTAACAGCATTCTTACGCACGCGTCTCTTCAATTCTTCCCATAAATGCTCTATGGGATTAATATCTGGGGATTGTGGTGGTGTATGCAACTGCTGACGAACATTATGGATCATCCACTCGCGAACTCTTTTAGCAGTGTGCTTAGGATCATTATCCTGTTGGAAAACGTAGCGCCCTTGTAAACTCAATTTTTCAACACTAGGCGTTAAATTATTTCTTAAAATATTTAAAAACACAAATTGGTCCATAATGCCATCGATGAAACTTAACTGGCCGACACCAGCGGCTGACATGCATCCCCAAAGTAAAACATTGCCTCCACCATGCTTTATTGTAGGACACAAATTTTCAATTTTTAATGCCGTATTGACTTTTCTCCAAACTTTAACACGTCCATCACTCCCAAAAAGATTGATCTTTGTTTCGTCACTAAATATGACGGTTTCCCAAAACTCCAAAGGTTTGTCAACATAATTTCTTGCAAATTCTAATCGTTTTCGCCGATTTCTTTCTGAAATAAGGGGTTTTCTCCTTGCCGTGCGTCCATTGTAACCAGCCTTATTAATGCAATTTCTAACAGTTTGTGGATTAACAATTTTAGAAAACTCTTCTCTGAGCTCTTTGGTTAGTTGTGGAGCACTTATCTTGGGATCTTTTTTAATTTTTCTTATTATGCTACCTTCTTCTCTCGCAGAGAGTTTTTTAGGCCGTCCTGTTCGTGGTCGAATTTTATAGGAATCCGTTCTCCTAAATTGATTAACAATGTACTGGACAGTGGCATGTGACTTTCCAAGCGTTTTGCCGATTTTTCTAAAAGATTGTCCCTCTTTCCACATGTCTACTATAATTTTTCTTAGACATGTAGGGATTTCCCGGTTTTTATTACACATATTGAATAAATTAATTTTAGGAAGTGTCAAAACTAAATTATTTCGCTTGACAATTAAATGACATTGATAAGGAATATGCCTGCCTAGATGTGAGAGCGACTACTAGTTCAAAACATATTTTTAGTTCCGGTGTATGGAGACTTTTTTGATGTATTATTTGCTAAAATTTAGTTGTATTAACCGAAATTTTAAAAGGAAACTTTTTTGAGTATTATTTTGATTTACTTCTATTTGGAATAGGTATGTGTTACTCATGTTTTGTATCATATAACTCGTAATTTTCAAGAAAAAAAGCGGATATCGTAAAATATTTACAAAAATCTTAGGTGTATGGAGACTTTTTTGACCGACTGTAAATTCAAACTCACAATTTAAACATATGTTTAAAGAATGTCAATTTAAGATATAATAGAACTATTAAGAATGTCAAATTAAGCCAGTTATAACTGTCTTAGGAACTGTTTTAAGAATGTCAAATTAAGCTAGATATATGTCTTGGGAACTGTTTTAAGAATGACAAATTAAGCTACATATAACTGTCTTAAAAACTGTTTAAAGAATGTCAATTTAAGATAGAATAGAAAAAAAGTCCATTTAATATATAATAGAACTATTAAGCTGGATATAACTGTCTTAGGAACTATTTTAAGAATGTCAAATTAAGCTAGATATCTGTCTTAGGAACTGTTTTAAGAATGTCAAATTAAGCTAGATATAACTGTCTTAGAAACTGTTTTAAGAATGACAAATTAAGCTATATATAACTGTCTTAAAAACTGTTTAAAGAATGTCAATTTAATATAGAATAGAAAAAAGTCCATTTAAGATATAATAGAACTATTAAGCTGGATATAACTGTCTTAGGAACTATTTTAAGAATGTCAAATTAAGCTAGATATAACTGTCTTAGGAACTGTTTTAAGAATGTCAAATTAAGCTAGATATAACTGTCTTAGGAACTGTTTTAAGAATGACAAATTAAGCTAGATATAACTGTCTTAGAAACTGTTTTAAGAATGACAAATTAAGCTATATATAACTGTCTTAAAAACTGTTTAAAGAATGTCAATTTAATATAAAATAGAAAAAATATCCATTTAAGATAGAATAGAACTATTAAGCTGGATATAACTGTCTTAGGAACTATTTTAAGAATGTCAAATTAAGCTAGATATAACTGTCTTAGGAACTGTTTTAAGAATGTCAAATTAAGCTAGATATCTGTCTTAGGAACTGTTTTAAGAATGTCAAATTAAGCTAGATATAACTTTCTTAGAAACTGTTTTAAGAATGACAAATTAAGCTATATATAACTGTCTTAAAAACTGTTTAAAGAATGTCAATTTAATATAAAATAGAAAAAATATCCATTTAAGATAGAATAGAACTATTAAGCTGGATATAACTGTCTTAGGAACTATTTTAAGAATGTCAAATTAAGCTAGATATAACTGTCTTAGGAACTGTTTTAAGAATGTCAAATTAAGCTATATATAACTGTCTTAAAAACTGTTTAAAGAATGTCGATTTAAAATAGAATAGAAAAAATGTTTATTTAAGATATAATATAACTATTAAGAATTTCAAATTAAGCTAGATATAACTGTCTTAGGAACTGTTTTAAGAATGACAAATTTGGCTATATATATATATCTGTCTTAAAAACTATTTAAAGAATGTCAATTTAAGATATAATAGAAAAAATGTTCATTTAAGATATAATAGAACTATTAAGAATGTCAAATTAAGCTAGATATAACTGTCTTAGGAACTGTTTTAAGAATGACAAATTAAGCTATATATAACTGTCTTAAAAACTGTTTAAAGAATGTCAATTTAATATAGAAAAAAAAATGTCCATTTAAGATATAATAGAACTATTAAGAATGTCAAATTAGGCTAGATATAACTGTCTTGGAAACTATTTTAAGAATGTCAAATTAAGCTTGATATATCTAGCTATCTATATATAACTGTCTTAGGAACTGTTTTAAGAATGTCAAATTAAGCTAAATATAACTGTCTTAGGAACTGTTTTAAGAATGACAAATTAAGCTATATATAACTGTCTAAAATTAAAACTGTTTAAAGAATGTCAATTTACTATAGAATAGAAAAAATATCCATTTAAGATAGAATAGAACTAATAAGAATGTCAAATTAAGCTAGATATAACTGTCTTAGGAACTGTGTTAATAATGTCAAATTAAGCTAGATATAAAAATAAAAACACAATAATGACAATTTGCTCATTTTAAAACACAAATAGAAAACAAAATTAAAATAATTGTGCCTATAATAAATTTGTTTGGGTGTTTTTTAACCAAGAATGAAAAATTCAAACCCACAATTTAAACACATGTCAATCACCACTATTAATATTTAATGATAGAAAATAAATACATCAATTTTTTGACTAGTCATATGGCCACTGTGTGATGGCTTCAACACAGCAGTATTCATACAATGATGCATTATTATTGTAATTCAAACGAGGGTGGTCCAATGATTTACATTTATTTTGTGCAGTCATCTTTATTAGTTCTACAATAAAGCCATTTACTGAAAATATCAACGCCTTTGTGATATTTAAATAATAATAATTATCGAAGAGTATATTTTAATTTTTGGAAATGGGGGTGATTTTGCAAATAATGTGTGATTTTGCATATAATGTGTGGTACGTTAAAAAGTAGTGGGATTTTGGTATAGATTTTAATATAAAATATAAAATAAATGTTTTTAGGTACTCTCTAAAAATGAATTAATCAAAAATGGCTAGAGTTACTACAGTTATTAGTGACTGCTTTTTCACTTATACCATGGTTAACCATGGTATCCACAACAGTCAATTCTAATGTGAAATTGTCCCCTGAATCCGAAAATACCGTCAAAAATTATGAAAGTAGAGCAGTTTTTGAGATATAGTCAACTCCTTATTATATCGAAAACTAACTATATCTCAAAAACTGTTCTACTTTTATAACTTTTGACGACATTTTTGGATTCAGGGGACAATTTTACATGGAAATTGACTGCTAAATGTTCGGGATACAAATTGCTATTGACGAGAATTATTAGTGGCTGCTTTTTCGCTATGTCATTTTTGAATAATTTATTTTTAGATAGTATGTACTTACGATTGCGAACTCCAAAAGAAAGCAGATGCATGTGTTGATAAGGCGACTAATGCACTTAAAATTGCCTGTAATAGAAATAACACAAATATTGACATTTTAAATTAGTTTTTAATAAAATAAAACAAATTAGCAAATTATTCCCTTTATCTCTCAGATTCAAGTTAGCAAAGTTTTACTGTACTATAGTAAGTTTGAACTGTAAATGAAACAAAAGAAAGAATTTATAACAAATGTTTAAAATATTGTACGTTATTGTTATTAATTAATTAATAGATTTACAAAAAAACATGGAATTTTTTGTTATACACTCACAGGCAAAATAATCGATCCACACAAATTTTCGATGAATTTCAATGGCAACTAACTTTTTTATTTGATTTCGGATTTAAACAAATATTAAAGAATATTGTAGATACATTAATGAAGAATCGCTCACATTTTAAAAATTACCAAAAAATACACGTACGTTTATAATATACAGGTTTAAACAAAAATATATTTTTTACCATAAGTTCTATTGTTCTAAATTAAGTTTTAATTATCAAGTCACATCTATTTTTAACAGTTTTGTTTTTGGTTCACCTTGATATATTTATTTTTGTGGAAAATATGAATGTTTTTAAAAAAACATTGCAATTTCCAATATTTTTCCTGTATGAAGAACTAAGGTTGCTATGGTCCATCCTATGGAGGATGACAGTGACAGTTTTGTTGAATCATCCCATACTTGGACATGTCATATACAGCTTTCAAAAGGTATCAAATTGTTTTTTGTAAATTAATGTATTAATTTTGAGGTGTCTTCTTACTTTAAAAAAGTCTCCGACTGATGTTGCCATTTGTACTTTACTTCTTGTGACGTTTAAAACACTTGCCACGTAATACTGTGACCGTCCATCCTGGATTAAATTAATGGCTCTGGCAACATCAGTCGGAGACATATCCATTTTTTAAAGTAAGAAGACACCTCAAAATTTAAACATTAATTTACAAAAAACAATTTGATAGCTTTTGAAAGCCGTGTATGACATGTCCAAGTATGTTAAAATAGCAAATTAATGGATTTTTTCTTCTGATTTAAATGGTAAAAACAGAAAAACAACTGGACGTCGTGTTTCTAAAATATTCACAAAAATAACATTTTTTAATTTTATATTTGTACATATTTTAAAAAACAATGTTTGATTTGGTTGATTTTTTACCCCTTAACGTTTCTGTGATTTATTTAAACTTTTTCCGCACAACCAAAGAAAAGTTATGTATTAAAAAATATTTTTTAAATAGTCATAACTCTTTTAAAATCTGACTAAAAGAACTTTGTTTTTATAATAAAATAAATTGAAATAAACTTAAGCTCGAAAGAGCAAAAAAAAAGATATTTAACTTTAAAATTTTCAAAATATTATTAAAATATTTACAGATATGTTTACAAATTGTGTTGCTCTTTTGAGCTTAACATTTGTATATTAATGTTTATACATTTTTTTGCTATTTCCAATGGTAAACAGGATTAAGTCCTGGCTTACTTAGTTTTTGATAAATAAAAACTGCTTTGTAACATTTTTATCAAAACTCTAAAACATATTTTTTTTTACTTTTTAATTGAAGTTATTTTTAATGATAGACTTTAGACTTTATTTAAAAACATTTTTTTGCTAAACATATCCTTTCTAAAATTAAAGCAAATAAGGAAGTTACTTCATTAATTTTATTTTTTCGCGCAAATTTTGTCGAGTCAGTTGAACTACTTCCTTAATTAGGAAACATACAACAAGCAAAATCGTGTTTTGCAACACAAACCATTAGAACAGTTTTTTTAATGTTACCTAACAATAATCATAACTGTAATAATTGTTATATCGCCTAAACTAACTAAAATCTAAGTAAGTAGGTACATATATAAACTCACCAAAATGTTACTACAACTCATCATTGTGAAGCACAAACAAATTCGAAAAATAAAAACTAAAAGGTAACACCTGTACGCACCAAAAGAAGATTACCGAAGAATGCACTAAGTGGCGCCCGAACAGCTTTTTATATAATCTTCTCTGTGCCTTCCCTACCTTTCAGCCCTTGACCAGAATCACGTAGTGACACACTGCGTTAAGATCGTTCACCTTTTTTATCCCCTGTATATATAGTCTGTGGTGATTAGGCACTGTCCTCCATGGATTAGTGTACCGCTGTTAGACGAGATGTATCTTGGTTTTAGTGTGTTTATAGGGGATGTTGAAGACAAACTGTTCGACACACAAATTTTCGATGAATTTCAATCGCAAATAACTTTTTTATTTGATGTCGGATTTAAATAAATATTAAAGAATATTGTAGATATATTAATGGAGAATCGCTCACATTTTAAAAATTACTAAAAAATACACGTACGTTTATAATATACAGGTTTAAACAAAAAGATGTTTTTTACCATTAGTTTAAGGCACTCTGAAGAGTGGCAAAACCGTATATTGTTCTAAATTAAGTTTTAATTATCAAGTCACATCTATTTTTAACAGTTTTGTTTTTGGTTTACCTTGATATATTTATTTTTGTGGAAAATATGGATTTTTTTTAAAAACATTGCAATTTCCAATATTTTCCTGTATGAAGAACTAAGGTTGCTATGTTCCATCCATAGCCTATGGAGGATGACAGTGACAGTTTTGTTGAATCATTCCATACTTGGACATCTTTCAAAACCTATCAAATATGAAAAAATGTTTTATACCCTGTACATACCAAACTTCAAAAACAAAAACTATTTAGTTATTATTAGTGTCGACATGTGGTCAACACTTTTTTCTTCATCTTGTTCATTAATAACGTTTTTCATTGTTGAAACACACTTTAACAAAAGTTATTAGATTTGAACTCTGAACTGACAGAGCCTTCGTATAATTAATAATATTTATTGATGGAGATGTTAGTTTCGACTGAAATGTAATTAATCAAAAAATGAACTATATTTTGGTCTGAACATTCCCTGTGGATTATAATGACTTAGATTTGTACCTAAATACCACAGTGGTAGACCACTATTATAGTAGGTAGGTACCACTAAAATTAAGATTAGAGATATATTTATTTTCGCTTCTTCTCAAAATTATTTTAACTTGGATAGCTATAGTTTCTTGGGTGGCAAAGTCACGTAAAGATAAACAGGTCAGTCAAATAGTTTTTTTTTATGAAATATTGGGTAATTATTTACATTGGAACACGAACCTTAGAAATCCTTTTTACACGTCAGCTTTATTGAAAACTGACAACCCATTATTTAACCACAAAACCAATTTTGAAATCAATACAAAAAAATACTAAATGAATAATTGATTTAATAAAACCGTAGGCAAGAAGGCTTGTTAGTTATTTATTGGGTCCTATTGGTCAAATAGCATCTGAAAGACAAGAAAGAAGTATTATAATATGTATACATACAAAAGTGCTCTTTTAATTCCACCCTTACATCCTAAGAAGTCAATCTCACAAAGGGACGTATTTTTTATAATTTTACAAGAGAGCATATCAAAACTTACTGCAGGTTAAAAATATACTAAAATAAACTTAAAAAATTATTATGGTTTATAACTGTAATTTTATATGTTAATCGAAGTATTTTTAAACCGAATATTGCAGTAATTTTCAAAATGATTCTCTGTATAATTAAAAAAATGGGATTGTGAGATTGACGACGATATGTTAAATTTATTCCAATACAGTTTTATTATTTACTATTAATCATAAAATTTGTTAACCTGAATATCGCAAAAATTTTCTCCAGTAAAATTATAAAAACCTTCTCTAAAATTATAAATCACTTTGTGAGGTTGACGATATGTTGATATAAAATGTGCTTCAGTTTTGGTGATTTTTAAAATAAGATACTTGTTTTTTAAGATGATTTTATTAAGAAAGCGAAGTATATACAGGGTGTTATGTAATTAATGTTATATATTAAAATACTGAATACCTTTTGACATTAGGAATAAAGGAAAAATATTTTAAAAAGCATTTTTCCAAAGATAAAGAAAAAATATGCATTAAAAGTTTTTTATATTTTTTGTGATACGCCACTGGTTACACACTTGTTTATCTCTGCACACCTGTATTTTGTGAGTACATAGATACCAACCAACAAAGTAGCTATGCGTTGCCAGATGTAAAAAATTGTTACCTACTAAAAATTTTTCTTGCAAAAAATAAATAAAAACTCAATAAATACAAAAGTTTTATGCCCTTAAAGCTCTAATACCCTTCTGTATTTATTTACTGATCCAGCTTTTAGCTTAAGCAATGATTAGAAAATTTAGTACCTTTGAAATTTGAAATCCATAACCACAAAATTAATTTTTTCATCAGTTTTTTTCTCTGTTTACTCAGATGAAATTGGGACCAGTTCACAGGTTAAACTTTAAACATTTAATTTGTGTAAATAAATCCAAAAGCACTTCACTTAGTTAAGATATTTACAATTTGAAAACATAACCTAAAATTTAAAAGAAATGCACTAGATTCTGTCATAAAAGTTGGCAGATATTGTTTGAATTTACCTTTAGTACAAAAATGAAATAACCAACAATTAATAAAAACGCCAAATTGACAATTTGCATTGTTAATTTTGTCATTTTTGTAATTAAGCTAAATTTAAACAATGTTTGTCAACTTTTTTGAGAAATTTTGGAAACTGCTGTTACCAACCATAACATAATAAATCCACCAGATTAACCTAAAGTTCCTAGTCGATCAGTGGCGTACTTTTTGGTAGGATAAAGGTTATTATAAATTATTTTTAGACTTTGGAATTTAGAAGAAAAAAAGTTTCAGGTGCTTCTTTATGGACCCTAAGGAACAACCCATTTTAATATATAACATTAATTACATAACACCCTGTATTTATATATTTTATAATATCTTATTTTAAAACTTTAAAACTATATTCATAGAAAAATATAAATAAACTTAAAAATGAAGATATAGTATAATAATAATATAATCTTTAAAACTATATTCATAGCTTTATCACAGGCGATGCATGCTAATACTCCATTATCTGAAAGAAATTGTAAATAATAAATATAACTTGATTTCCGTTAAATTCATCTGATTAATAATTAACAAGTGAATTTATAGTAAATGCCCTTTATCGTACATGTTTCCATCACACTAAGTGAACTTTAAATACACATTGACAAGTTGTGGCTTTATGGCGCCTTAGTCACGGGCTGAAGTTAGCAACAGGTTTTTAGTCACGGGCTGAAGTTAGTTTTAAATTAGTTGACAGTTGTCAAATGTCATACAATCGTTAAAATAAAGTGCCTTTCTTGTAAAATAATACTAAATGTGAAAATTATTTTATTATCTCAATACAAAAATACAAAAGTATTAAATAGTTTCTCAACGCCAATATTTGAAAAGTTTATATGAACATTGTACTGACCTTTTAATTTCGCCGGCAGTAAACTATAACTTAAATTCGGGCACGGACTCCACTGTAAAGTGCTCATAAAACATTTTCTTTACTTTCACTGTGAAAAACTGTTAATTTTCAAGAAATACATTTCGATTTATAACCTTTATAATCTGTGTTTGTCGTAGAAAAAGTATAGTATGGACCTCGTTTATAAACTTTTCTATAAACTCATTAATTTAAGCACTGTATAAAATGGCGTTTATCAAACTTGATACATAATGTACTATTATTTGACACAAGTTTAAAATAATAAAATTAAATTAAATTTCAGAATATATAAATTGACCAGTAAAGTAGCAATTAATGGGTTCAATCAAGAACAAAACACGTTTACAAAAATCTAAGAGATCTAAAAAATTTCAGTTTCCCAAATTTTAATTAAATCAAAAGCGTTCAGTTTTCGGGTAGGTAGGTCAATGGGATTCATTGACCTAATATTGACATTCAGATAAACAGAACAAGTTTAATCGCTGCTTCGGTATGATAATAAGCCGGACTTTTTCCCGGTGTCTAATTATTTAAAGGGCCTTATCTGTCCAGGCTAGTGACATGTATATTAATTTAATAAACTACCGATATGCATTAAAATTGTCCAGCGACGGCCCACGCAAGGCTTTTAAGATTTATTTATTATAATGGTTTTATATATACATAGAAATTACCTTCTTGAGATTGGGTCAAATTTTTCCTTTTAAATGCTTTTATCTCCACACGGTCTATAATTTAAACTTTATTGTTGTCAACATTCGATAAAGAAATACCTTGTTATGGCCTAGGCCGATACAAAATTTTATGAGGCAAGTAATTAGTTCGATTTTTTCTCGCTAGGGGTATTGTTTTGACAAATTAATCCTTTTCTAAGAAATTAACGTACTAAACTGGTTTAATTTATTTATAATAAGCACTAATTTGTTTGTTTTACTGTTAATGTTTAATATTTTTCATTAAATTATTGTAAAATTAAATATGAATAATAAAACAAAAAGTGAGGTTAGGCAACCAAGAAAACGCACGATTCTTTTTCTACGATTTAAATTACCTATCTTTAATTTAAGTTTTCAGTAAAATTAAACGTTAAACACAGCTTAAAAGTTCCAAACTACCTATTTTTTAAATAAAAATCCAAACAAATTGTAATTATATACCTACCTATTTATTAAACAATTAATTGAATTTAATGTAATAGCAAAAATCCATTTCTACTTAAATCATGTTGCTAGGTATTGTCAAACTATTACTGCTTCTAAAAGCAATAATAATTATTGTACATTTAATGTAATCTTTAGCTAATAAATAAATGAGATTCTAAAAAAGTGAGGTTAGGCCGCTTTGATGTTGAATTAAATTGACTTATATAAAGTGCTTTGAAGATAAAATGTTGTATGCATTCGGCCAAGAAGTGCCTTTTTGTGCTTCGCTCAAACCTTGAGCTTATAAGCTATAGCACAAAAAGCCTTACTTCTTAACTTAATGACATAAATAACTATTTTAACGTTTTAAAATGTTTTAATTATTTATGTGTAAGTACCAATATTTTTTTTTAATATAAAATAATCCTAAAAATTACAAAAAAAAATTATTTAATTAAAAAAAAAATTGTGCATCGGCCGGGAATCGAACCCGGGCCGCCCGCGTGGCAGGCGAGCATTCTACCACTGAACCACCGATGCTTACAAATAATTTAGATATTGAAGTATTTAAAAAAGTCCAAATAATTTCTTTGACATTTTTATTACTGAAATATTAGGATCAGGACAAATTAAAAACCACTAAAATTCAAACGTTTTATTTACAGAACCTTAAAAAAAGCAGTAGTCATTCAATCATTTGTAATTGAATCTCCTACCCCCGTCAAATCTGAACCCGTAAGCGGCGGAATTTTTGGCGTCCACCAGGGCCGGATTACGGTGTTTGTAGAAACTGCCGTGCGAATGGGCGGCTCTAGAAGACCCAGTCTGCTGGCCCCTCGGATAAAAAGCCTCGAAAGTCCCTTTAGAAGGCAGAACTGAACTGACTTTGGCGTCTGTTGGATCGTAACCAATCGCAGAGAGAAATACCGAAGAAATTATGAAAAATATTGCGTAAATATTCATTATGGTTGTGTCACGTGGCGAAAAACTCTATTATTTTCAACAATATGCTCGATACAAGCGAATTTCCGCACTTAAACGCAACAAATCGAATCACTTTCACTACATTGAGCAATGCAAGTGGGTGCGGTTTAAATTGAAAGGATTTAATATCAACGTACTTTTTACAATTTCAACCTTAACACCAGAATTTTACTGGGGTCATTGCAAAAAAATACTTTTTCAAGGAAATATTCAAAAAACATTTAATTCGGCCCTTTTCCTAACGCAAACAGAAAACTAGAATTTTAGCTTCTCAATTCGTCGTGTAGATGTCGCTTTGAATCAAAACAAATCTGCCGGTTTTAAATGTCAAATTTCAAAATGAAGATTTATTAATTTACTTGTTAACAATTTCAACCTTAATCCCAGAATTTTACTGGGGTCATTGCAACAAAATACTTTTTCAAGGAAATGTTCAAAAAACATTAAATTCGGCCCTTTTCCTAACGCAAACAGAAAACTACTATTTTAGCTTCTTAATTCGTCGTGTAGATGTCGCCTGCAATGAAAACAAATCTGCCGGTATTAAATGTCAAAATTTAAAATGACGATTTATTAATTTACTTGTTTACAATTTTAACCTTAATTCCAGAATTTAACTGGGGTCATTGCAACAAAATACTTTTTCAAGGAAATGTTCAAAAAACATTAAATTCGGCCCTTTTCCTAACGCAAACAGAAAACTACTATTTTAGCTTCTCAATTCGTCGTGTAGATGTCGCTTTCAATGAAACAAATCTGCCGGTTTTAAATGTCAAAATTCAAAATGACGATATATTAATTTACTTGTTTACAATTTCAGCCTTAATACCACAATTTTACTGGGCTCATTGCAGCAAAACTTTTTCAAGAAAATATTCAAAACACATTGAAATCATAACGCAAACAGAAAACTTCTATTTTTCTAAGCTTCCCAACTCATCGTGTAGATGTCGCTTTCAAACAAAACAAATGTAAACGTCAAATTTCAAAATTATTGATCCGCATTGTACCGAGTTAAAATCGAATTTACCCTTCAAAATGACGAAGAAAAATAACGCTGATATGTCGGAAGATCTGCTAGAAGCGGTTAAAAAGTGCGTAGCACGTGAAATTTCCGTGAGAGAAGCTTCTAGGCGGTATAAACTATCCAGAGCTACAATAACGCGGTATTTGGCCAAGTGTAAGAAGTCGGAGTTTTTTAGTAATGGCGAGATGTTCACAGCGAAAGAAGAGGGTGTGTTTAAAGAGCATTTAATGGTTGCCGGGAGATTGCACTATGGTCTGACGAAGAGACATATACAACAATTGGCGTACGAGTGGGCTAAATCAAAGTACAAAATATACCCTCCAATGTGGGATAAAAATGGTTGTGCTGGTGATGAATGGACTAGCAGTTTTATACAGAGAAACCCCGAAGTGTTTTTCAGCTATGAAGACTACTCGCCGGGGGATAAAATCTCCTTATTCTTTGAAAACTACCATAAATTGGTGTCGACGACAAATATCCCCATAGAAAACATATGGAATTGCGATGAGTTTTTTATAGGCGATAATGCTGACAACGGGGTCAATTTAATTGCTGCTATAAGTGCGGCAGGTTCCCATACACCCCCGATGATGGTTTTGCCTTTGGAGAAGTATACCACCATGACTTTTAAAGAGAGCCCCATAGGGACGATATACGGGGCAAATCCAAACCCAGCGGCACTGAATACGAAGTTGTTTATAAACTTTTTAAAACACTTCAAAGAACAGGTTAAATCGTCCATTGATAACCCCGTAATTTTACTGTTAGATGATAATGACAGTCACGTAGGGATAGAGATAATCGAGTTTGCTATATCATCGGGCATTTTACTGCTGACATTTCCTAGAATACCCAACAGAAAACTTCAGCCGCTGGACAATTTGTTGTTTGTTTTGTTAAAAAATATCTACGACTCTAAAGTGGATTTCTTCAAGCAAACAATGCGGAAAAATGTTACTTTCACGGGAATCATAGAGTTTGCGGGAGTGGCTTTTTCAGAGTGCTTCAATGAGCAAATTATACAGCAATGCTTTGAAGTCACAGGTATTTATCCAGTGAACGAGGCTATTGTTAACAACGAGGATTTTAAAAAATATGATGATGCACAATCCTGATTTTTTAGGTTAGATTTTATTTTTGTATTATTTTGTACATTTTTCTTGTATCGCGACTTTTTCGAAAAAAGTTTTTGGTTGCCTAATTTTGTTCAAATTTGGCGTTTGGAAGTGTTAATTTGGCGTTTTTATTAATTGTTTATGTCATTTTTGTAATGAAGGTAAATTCAAACAAAATCTGGCAACTTTATGACAGAATCTAGCGCACTTCTTTCAAATTTGAGGTTATGTGCTCAAATCGTAAATATCTTAACTTTTGGATTTATTTACACAAATTGAATGTTCAAAATTTAACCTGTAAACTTGTCCTAATTTCATCTGAGTAAACAGAAAGAAAAAAACCTATGAAAAAATTAATTTTGTGGTTATGTAGTATTTAAAATAGGCACTAAATTTTCTAATCATTGCTTTTTTATTTATTTTTTGCAGGAAATTTAAAATTGTTAGTAACAATTTTTGACAACTGGCAACGTGCAGCTACTTTGTTCGTTGGTATCTATTGAGGTTAGGTATCTGTCACTTTTATAATAGAGAGGTTGCAATTATAATAAAAATAGCGTATAAGTAGACTTTATCGCACACGTGAAACCATTTTTCGAAAAAGTTCCTACGGAATATTTGCCATTGTAAATAAAAATATATAAGAGTCATTCCACTAAATATTTTTTTTGATGATTTTTAAATTTTGTGAGTTATTCTCTACATTGAAATAATGAGCTCTTAAAAAAATTATATTAAGGAGTAACTTTTTTAAGTAGAAACATTATTTATAAAAATGCGTAGGTACAGTAACTGTACAGTTTTTTTCATCTTTTTAATGAAAATATTAATTTTTTATTACAGTAACCCTCAAAAATTACATCAAAGTAAAAAACGCAATTTTTCTGGCCTTGCGGCAATTTTTATTTCAAGTTTGATTTTTTTTTATAAAAGCTGAGATTTTTTTATACAAAATGTGTAATTTTTACGATGGGTCTATTTTTTGTTTAATTACAATTAAATAACCTTAATAATTGTTGAGGTTATGAATCTGTCAATTTAACGCCAATTACATTTTATTTTCTGAAATAATAGTGGTTATTTCAGAAAATAAGACTGTCATACAATCGTTAAAATCTTGTGAAATAATAATGTGAAAATTATTTTATTATCTTAATACAAAAATAAAAAGTATATAATAGTTTCTCAACCTATAAAAAAAGTTTATATCATATAAATTATATGCAAGTCTGTACTTATTTTTTGATTTTGCCGGCAGTAAACTAGATTTAACTGAGAGTAGAGTCTTCAACGTGAAGTGCCCATAAAACATTCTCTTCACTTTCGCTGTGAAAAACTGCTTCTATATCATTATATAAATGGTTGTCAACTTTCAAGGGATAATACAGATTTCCAAGTTTTAAAATTTTTACGCGAAATCTTCATTTTTTTATAGATGTTGCTCTTTTCAAATATTTAATTTAAATAATCTTTAGATAATATAAGTATTTGTCGTAGAAAAAGTATAGTATGCAACTTGTTTATATACTTTTTTAGACACTTATTTAATTAAGCATTCGCTCGCAAGCTCGCTTGAGCCTATATTAAAGTCGTGACTAAAATGGTGTTTATTAATTTACACCAAAAATAACCCCATAAAAATTACATATTTAAAAGTATGATTTAAAAAAATAATATCAAATTTAAAATAAAATTAGACGCAATTAAAAAATTTGATTTTACAGGGGGTCAAACTTAAGAAAAAAAAAGGTATTTGGTGAAATGATCCGACGAACAAAAATGCCAACCAAATAATCTGATTATAGACTCTTTTGGTAACACAAAAATGTATTTATCAAAATCCCAGCTGATTCTTTATTAAAGTTTTGCATATATCTTAGTATTTTAAAATTGTTTATGCCATTTCAATAAAATACTCTAGTACCATTATCAAATGTTTTTAAAAAATTGGCAGATACTGTCTGTCCACTCTAAGTTGGCGGAACTAAGGAATTTTGTAGTTTAGATATTAAAGAATTGTCGTACTGTGTGCTTTTAAAACAGATTTTATATTATAAATAATACTAGTACATATTATATACTAGTATTATTTATAATATAAAATCTGTTTTAAAAGCACACAGTACGACAATTCTTTAATATCTAAACAACAAAATTCCTTAGTTCAGCCAACTTAGAGTGGACAGACAGTACATGACTGAATAAATTACATTATAAATACAAAATAATGTAAAATACAGTTTGCAATATCTTATTTATTGTTTTAAGGTACCTAATACAAAACTAATAAATAACTAAAGATTCTTTGAAGCAAAATCGATTACTGCTTGCCTTAAATTTTCAGTAAAACTTTTTCTTGGGTTTTACATGGAATTGTTTTTAACATGGAAACAGTATTTTTAAATTCTTCAGTCTCTGTACAAACATGCTTCTTACATCTAGCGATATACCCTAGAAAGGAAGAGCATATCAAAACTTTAGTTCGTTCGTCCGTCCTCTTCCCTTAATAATTTTTTATGCCCTTTATATCTTGCCATTTTGCAGATGAAGCACATTCTTGGCTGCCGCGAAATTCTCTAGCAATTTCTAAATTTTGAAAATTTGGCAATTGTGGCTATGCAAAATACCGTTTTTACCATATTGAAGTAGGTAATTTTGAATCACTTAAGTTAATTTTCATTTTAAAATGCTATTTTTAACTTTATAAAGTATACATTAAATAAACAACTAAAGCAAAATGTCACTTGCGTTATAACGTATAGCAATTTTTTTCATAATTATTGTTTTACAAAATTTGCAAGTTGTAATTATTTCATAGACCAACTTCCAGTATTTTTTGTTATAAAAAATATTTAATATATAAAGTTTGCAAAATAGGATCAGCTGGGATTTTAGTGTAACCAAAAGGGTCCATAATCAGTTTTGGTTGGGTTGGCGTGTATAATATATAAAAATATTGTACTGTTTTTTATTATGTTCAAAGATGTAAATAGAAATTTTAAAATGTAGATATAGCAAAATATTTTGTATTGATAGAAGATTTTTGAATAATAAACCTTTATAGTTTTAAAAAATGTTTTATTGTAATAATAATAATTAAAATAAAATCAATTTATCACTTTGTACTTGGCTACAAATATACACATTAAAAGCACTCGGAATTGTCTTGCAGGTCGACTGTTTTCCTCTTCTTAAAATTCCTGGGCTTTCCCTTGAAATCCGCAATCTTCCTCTTTTTCAACTCTTTTTTTTTCTCGTGCCGCTTGATCTTCTTTTTGGCGAATATTTCCGGATCCGTCACGGCCAACTGAGTCCTCACCCGTTTCCTCTCAGCCCTCTTGACCGACAGAGATTGCTGCAGTTGGGTTAAAGTCTTAGTGTATTGTTCCATGCCGATGCGTTTTTTGATCAAGTTTGCCACCTCTTTCGATAACTGTCTTAGAGGGGAATTTTTTTCCTCTACAGTGATCATTTCCCGGACTAAAGGCGCCATTAAGTGGTGGAGAATCGGTTTGAGTCTATCGAGTTCTAAAGCCGTTGCAACACCGGCAATCCATTTAAACACTTCCGTTCTCAAAACAATACTTGAGGCGTCTTCCACTACTTCCGCATTGACAATCTTCCGCATTCTTTTCGTTAACCATAGAAGGTTAATTTTTTTATCCCCCTCGTCTTTTAACGGAACCTTCTCTAAAACTCTGGCCACGAAAACCAAATTTTTAATAACCTGCTCGGCCAAGTCGCTTTTTATGCTACCCGGCACTAGTTGGTCGCACAAATCTAACGCTAGAGATTTAACCGAGTTAACCGGATGTTTACGCAGATACCCGACTTCCGCAGACTCGTTTTTAACCATTAAATCCGCCAGAAGAACAACATCGGTGCCCGATAGAACAAAACCCAAAAATTGGGCCGCCCCCAGGCGCACCCAGTCGTGGGGATACCCCAACAAACTTTGCGTGTGAATCGCTAAATCTTCCATATCATTTTGGCGCTTCAAAAACAACGGGCAGTAAGCGGATATTTTCAGTAGCAGCTGGAAAACCTGGTACAGGTGGTGGTCTTTGGATCGCTGCCGTTCCTCCGTGTCTTCGCTTTCCTTAACCTTGTTAAGTTTCACGAACTTACCTGCGCTGTTGTCTATACCGAACTGCTTCATTATCAGCGGCATTATTAAAGGTAAACGGGATTCGAACTCCTGTTTTTCTACCGTTACGAACAAGCCGCAAAGCTGGGCTGCCAGACGGCGGTGACTTATCTGAAAATAGTATATTAAAGAACTAATTTCATAAGACGGTCTTATGACATAAATTCTTTATGCTATTTTATCTATAAATATATTTTGTAAAATTTAATTTGGTCGAATTTTACTTTAGATAGTTGGCATCACAGTCATTGGTTTGACAGTTGATGTCAAAATCGATTCACCATGCCGTCCTTAATTTACTTACGAATTACAAAACTGTGTTTAATAAAAAAATTGTAGATAATTCCCCGAACAAATAGGCAAACAAATTCGCCTCCAGTCAAATGTTGTAGTATTATAAACCAAATAAACTGTGAGATTTTTATAAATAAATTTTAAAAAAATTTAAAAGAATTGTTGTTTAGTATTTAATATTAGTGGCATTATGCGTATTTTGTATGTACTTGCGAGTACTTGTAAAGTGTTTAGAAGAAATAAATAAATAAATAAAACAAACTATATAATATTGTGGCATCAAAATTGTCAAAAATGTTTTGGTTTTAATGCACAACCTAATGAAAAAAGAATATTTTTGAAAATTTTGATGCAGAAATAATATATAATAACTAACCTACAATTTTTTATATAAACAGTTTTGTTGAAATATTGTTTAAAAATAAAAAAGTAAACAAACGCAAGAAATATTTTATAAAAGTAGAGATAATGTTAGTGATTGATATTTCGACTGTCCATTATTGAAATTATGAAAAAAAAATTGCGTTTTTTATTTAATGTTAATGATTTAAATATTCGAAAATTTGTAATGTCTAAAATATTATTTTATGACATTCTTAAATGTATTTTGAAATTGGCAAGATCAATAAAATGAGTTTTATTATTTTAAAATTGCTTTAAAATTCAAAAAAATTATTAAATTTAAAATTGTTTTCTTTAGTAATTAAAGTAATAAAAATTCATTTTTTTGCTGTCCATGACTTTTGTTTAGCTATTTTTGAAGTGATGAAATTTTAACCACTTATTACAACAATTATTAAATTGAATGTTTTCTAAAAATTTGTATTTTGAAAGTTTGTCCCTTCCGAGATATTTCAAATAAAAAATACCCGATTTTAGATTAATCTAAGAATAATTTAGCTATTTTTAAAAATGTCTAGCTAAAACAGTAATAGTTTAGTAATGAAATCGTGTTTGTAAATTTCTAAAGTATGTTTTTAACTTACTTATATGCTTATAAAACTGTATTTTAAACCTTATTAAATTATTTTAATAAGGTCTTATGACATGAGTTCTTTACTATTTTATCTATTTTGCAAAAATTCTATAAAAAAATAATTTTAAACCTTAAATTTAATTTGGTGGAATTTTACTTTAGATAGTTGCTATCACAGTCGTTGGTTTGACAGTTGATGTCAAAATTGATTCGCCATGCCGTCCTTAATTTACTTATTTACGATAAGCGGATGTTAATGTTAAAGAAGAAAAAAAGGATTTTTTTCGGCGTTAAACAAAATTTATTGCCGGAAAAGTCTCGTAAGTATTAGAAAAATCATAAAAATATTGTAACCAATATGCAAAATATTATGCTGTTTAAAGTATATATAGTAAAAAATAATAATGATAAACTTACGTTTTTGTCCTTCAACCATAAAGTGACAATTTCGAATAACGGTTGCCGGTCGGCTTTCGGTAATTTTTGCAGCATTGCCGTTATGCAGTTGGCGATCATTTTCCTGCATTCGGGGACTTCGTCGTTCACCAAACGAGCACCGAGGGTCACCAACAGCGTGCCGCTGTGTTCTTTGAGAACGTTCTAAAAATTTTCGTTGATTTTCGTGATAAAAACAACCCGAATACGAAAACTTACGTCGGGAAAGGAGTTAACAAGGCTGTGCACCATTTCTATGGCCGACTCGCGCCCGTACTGCATCTCGAAGCCCATCTGCGAGATGTAGAAGCCCAGGTGGGCCTCCAGCGCCTTGCCCACGGGGTAGTCCATCAGGAACTGGTGAAAGACCGCGCGGGCCTGCGCCCTCACGTGGCTCAACTCGGAAGTCACGCTGAGCTCCGCTACTTTCGCCATAACCTCGTTTATCTCGGGCACGATTAATTTCCTCGCGATTATGGCTTTAAGGAGGTTAAAGGCGGTGGCTTGGCGGTCGTGGTCGTGGACGTCTTGTTCAGCGTAGAGGAGCAAAGCTTTCAGCTGGTGGGCATCTATGGTGTGGTATTTCACGTCTCTCACCAGAACCGCAATCGCCTTCGAGTAAATTTAGTTGGTCTTACCGATAAACGTTCTTAAATCCGCACCGTTTGTGAAATGCTAGATAGGTGGATCAAAAATCGCTTTGAAGTAGTTTTTCTTCGGTGTAAATCGAGTTATTGTTTTTTCCAACAATGTCTCATCTCATTTTGGCAAAAATCCACTTATCTAGGTTTTCCCAAAAGGTGCGGAAATGTTATGTCACTCCCCAAGCAAAATATTAATGTACATAGAGTCAATCCAAATGAAAACACCAAAAATGAATTTAAAAGTGCGCTGCATAATTTTTTATTTTAATGAAAAAATTTGAGGATGATCTTTTAGGTTTAGAAACCTAAAATCGTGTCATTTTCTTACTCTCTTACAAGAGGCTAAAACTTTTTTTTCTGTGGCAATTATTGAAATGATTGTAATTTTATTTTTCTGCCTAGTAAGTATGTTTTCAATATTAATTATTATTATCTAATTAGTTCATCTCATAAAAGAATGGTAAACCACTAAAGATTTGTAATAATTTGCCAACTTTTGTGATTTTTGTGTGCCTATTCTGCTAAATCTAGAAAGTTGCTTTTTTTCAGGTATCAAGTACTTATACAATAGAAAACGTAACTATTATTTTAAGTTTCTAGACTATCATTTTCTTTATTAAAAAAATTATTGAAACTTGATAATTTTCAAAATTACCCTCAGAAATCATTATGTTGAGGAAAAAATAAAAATCTGAAACTTTCAGGAAATGTAGACCCCACCTTCATCTTTTCAGTCTAGTTAGTCTTGTTTTGTTATTTTTATCCATGTAAAAGATATAATAATTTTTTTAATGCAGTTAAGAAGCGATATTGTTAGTTTTATTTATAATTTAAAATTTAGATGGCTTCATGTTTGGTAGGGGAAATGTCACAACTGTCAAAAATATATCATAAATATTATTTGTGCATATTTAAATTGTGATTTCAAAAAGTTTGCAAGTTTGCAAGTGTAATAAATGACGGAGTGTTCGAGATTCATGAATTTAATTGCAATTAAAAATGCAAGAACATATCATAATTTTGTACCATCTCTCATAGAAACTATTAAAGTTCTGAGAAGTTTTAAATTGTTAAAAATAAGCAAAAACCAAAAAATATTCTAAATAAACCCCTTTATTATAACATGTTTTATTTTAACCATTTACCTAAAAACTAAAATTTAAGGAAGTATTTACAGATTGTGTAACATTAACATTTAAAATACATACATATAACTTTTAACTATTCAGTGCCTTACTAAAGGGATCAAAATAATAGAACAAGACTAACTTGGTTTAACCCAGCAAACCTTTTTCCGTTATTTGTCACCATTAACATTGCCCGTGTAAGAATTTTTAAAACTTTAATACAATTTTGCAATGATAGTAATTAAAAACAAAACAATTGTTTAAATATGTTCTTAACATAAGTAATCATATTTTAAAGTTATTTTAACATTTTCAAGTAAAAATAAATGTTATGTTTAATAAAATGAATAACGGGCAATGTTAATGGTGACAAATAACGGAAAAAGGTTTGCTGGGAAATTATGAAAGAAACCGACAAAAAACTGAATTTTTTATACGTTTAAAGTAACTCTATTAATTTCACTTATTATACTTTACGATATAAACCATAAGGATCTTGAATATATTTTTTACATTCTTCTTCTTTCAACACGAATTAGCCAATTAAATACTTCATTATAATGTATATAATATATACAATACATAAAATATAACATAATATGACATATTATATTATATACAAAATTTACCAAAGAAATACGCACAAATAATATATATGAAATATTTTTGACAGTTCTGACACTTCTCCACCAAACATGAAAGCCATCTAAATTTTAAATTATAAATAAAACTAACAATATCGCTACTAGACGGGCATTAAAAAAATTAATATATCTTTTAAATAAATATCTTTATTGACGGATTAACCATTAGATATAAACAAAAATAATCATTACAATTTTACATTAAAGACCTTTTGAAGGACTGGAGAGTATTGCCAAAGAAATCTACATTTAAAGTATTTGCATTTCTGCACATCCTATGTAATGGTGCATAATAACCATAGTTTGTATTGTGGTGACATATATAAAAAAGATTTTTATTTCTTAGTCTTAACTGAGGCACTTGAAAATTAATTCTGCCAAGCAATTCAGGGCTATCCATAATCCCATTTAAAAGTTTAAATAGGAAATGCATATCAAATTTATCCCTTCTTTTGCTTAGGGTATCAACATTAATCAAGTGTCTCAATTGTACATAATCATAGTCATCAATAATTAAATTTAATTTAAATGCACAAAATCTTAAAAATTTATTTTGTACTCTTTCGATTTGCAAACAATAAGTTAAGTAGTGAGGAGACCATACTACACAACCATATTCCAAAATACTTCGAACAAATGAAAAATACACATTTTTTATACACATCACATCATTAAAATCTTTTAAGTTCCGTTTAACAAAACCTAACATTTTTAAAGCTCTATTACTTATAATATTTATATGTTCGTTAAATGTAACCTTAGAATCAAAATAAACACCCAGATCCTTAATTACATTTACATTTTCTAAAATAACATCATTAATACTATAAGAAAAATTTATTTTATTTTTTATCCTAAAAAAAGGTATAAAAATAACAAAACAAGACTAACTGGACTGAAAAGATGAAGGTGGGGACTATATTTCCTGAAAGTTTCAGATTTTATTTTTTCCTCAACATAATGATTCTTAGGGCTAAATTGGCTAATTTTAAAAATTATCAAGTTTAAATAATTTTTTTAATAAAGAAAATGATAGTCTAGAAACTTAAAATAATAGTTACGTTTTCTATTGTTTACGTACTTGATATCTGAAAAAAGCAACTTTCTAGATTTAGCAGAATAGGCACAGGAGACAGACAAAAATCACAAAAATTGGCAAATTATTACAAATCTTTAGTGGTTTACCATTCTTTTATGAGATGAACCAATTAGATAATAATAATTAATATTGAAAACATACTTACTAGGCAGTAAAATAAAATTACAAACATTACAATAATTGCCACAGAAAAAAGTTTTAGCCTCTTATAAGAGAGTAAGAAAATGACACGATTTCAGGTTTCTAAAGGGTGCCGATTAAAAATAAAGCAACTAAAAATTAAAACGGCAACGGTTTTTCATATATGATACCTAAAAGATCATTCTCAAATTTTTTCATTAAAATAAAAAATCATGCAGCGCACTTTTAAATTCATTTTTGGTGTTTTCATTTGGATTGACTCGTAAGAAATTGAATTTTATTTAAAAGTTTTTTTTAAACTCTTCACCTGTAACTTAAACCTTTAAATATAGGTTGTATAAAAATTGTTGCAAGTACCTAAATATGTAAAAATCGTAAATATGTAAATAGGTAGAATCGTAAAATACCGCAAAGCTATGGGAAATTAAAAAAAATATTCTTAATTTCCTGTTATTTTTAAGGGGAAAACTTTAAAATCACAATAAAAGTACCTGAAACTTTCAGGGCATTGTTTTCTTGGTCAATATCAATATTTTGCTTTAGTAATATATATTTTCTATTCCTATTTTGCCAATTTTTATTAAATTTCCTTAAATTTTAACACAAAATGGTAGAAGATAAAAAATGTCAACTATTGACTAAAAATCGAATTTAAATATTTTTTTTTCGGTTTAATTAGGATTAACTACATTAGGTAGAAAGGATTCTCAGTTAAAGTATTTGATTTATAAAATTGAATGTTTTTATATTTTTTCCCAATATGGCAAAAGCAAGAATTGATTGAACAAATGATTTAGTTCCTACCTTAAAAGCAGCCATAACCAAGTCGAAATTATCCCCCTTACTTAACCCTGCAGAAGCGTACTTATGCAGAATCCCAAAAATATCCTTGGTGATATTTTTGATGCTTTGTTCCATGGAAGGCAACTCGTACTTCATAATCCAACTCAAGCACTGCAGCGTCAAAGTGCTCAACTAAAAGTAAACGCGAATAAAAAATAACAGCAACTTCCCGAAAATTACCTTGATGTGCTTGGACTTCAAGCACTTCTTGAAGATGGCCACAAACGGGTCCACAAAAGGCCTGTACTGCTCGTCCTTGATCTTCTCCCTCTTCAGCATCATGAAGCAGAGTCTGAGCCCGAATTCTATCAGCAAATGAGCGTTTGTAGAGGCAGAAGATTTGACTTTTCCCTCCCTGAAAGCAGTCTTACCCATGGGCATTTTGGGAAGAATGAGACAGTCCTCTTTTTGCCGCGATTTTATCTCCAACTCTTTCTGACTCAATTTAGGTTTTTCCTTCGTTAGTAATTGAGGAATACTCTGCGAGGATGTGCCGTAAGCAAACTTGAGCAGGGATTGTAGAGATACAAAGGAGTTATCCAATAACCCCTGGGATATGTAGCGCAATGTTTCCTGGGCTTTGTGGACCGTTTTAAACGAATGCGTCGATTCTAGTATTCTTTTTATCGGCAGTAACAAGTCCATGAGGCACTTTTCCGTGATGTATTGCGCCACTATTTGGTAGGTATCGAAACTCTTTGTTGATTTCACTTCCGAAGTTTTCGATGCTATTTTCGATACCTCTTTTTCTTCTGATAGTTTACCAAACAAATCTGCGTTGCACAACTAAGAAAAAACATTTTAAACCCACCATTGAAACCTTTTTACCTTATTTCTACATCTAAATGCAGTACTTTTTTCAAAAAAAGAAATCTCGTCCATTAAAAACTTTGTTTTATTTTTATTTTTATCTTCACTGTGTTAAAAATGAAGAAATTTCATTTTTTATTTCAAAACGTATCGATATCGCTAAATAATCGAAGAAGCAACTTTGTTTTATAAATTTGAGTATAACACGTTAAAGTATTGATATTTGACTATTATTTGATGTATTAACTTTTTTATGCAAATGATGTTTCTGTGGCCAGGATCAGTTTTGAATTAGCAGTAGCAGTATTCATAAATGTTTAGTTTTGTACATTTTGTCAATTTCATACAAATATTGTTGTATCTTTTACTAATTATTGAGTATAGCATAACACTTTAATGACGTTTAATATACAGGGTGTTTCGCGTACGTAGTTCGTTGGAAGTTTCTAGGGAATCGCGAAAGACATCGATTTAAAATTTTAATAGCGTAAATTACTCGCTTTAGACTTTTTTCTTAAATTATTTTGAACAAAATAATACTTCCTGTTTTACCGGAAATGTATTTAACTTTGTTATTTTAAACAGGACACCTCATATATTTTTAATTTTTTAATTCTACATAAAATTCCGAGTAAGTTGATACAAAATAGTATTGAAAATATTAGAAATTGTTAAATGTCTCTGAAATTTTAACTTTAGGAAACAGATATTATAATACCAATCGAAAGATTCTTTAATGTTCTATTTTATTATGTTAAAACATACAGGGTTTTACATTTATAATAAAAACGTTATTATTGTTTGAAGTTTGCCTAATTTCAAGTGGTTTTTCTCAAGGTATTTGTTGAAAAACCTGTAAAAAATTAAATTATTTAAAAAATGTTTTAATATTCCATGTCAGCAAACATAATAACAAAAAAATTAGAGGCTATTTTTGATTAACGCGCGTTTAGCAAAATTTTAACGAAAAAATTAATATCTTGAAAACTATTGACTTTAGGTATAGTCAAAATCAAATTGTATATGCTATTAAAATTTCAAATCCATATCGTTTGCGTTTCTCCAGAAACACCCTGTATATGTATTATATTAAATATAAAAAAAATACAAAATAACTAATTACAAAAAATCGAAAAACAACTGAATAAAAAATATAGATATATCTAAATAGCCAATTGCAACATAAAAATATTATTATTATTTATTCTAATTTATTTATTGGGTAAATATTACTTTCATCAGTTTGGAATTAAAATTGAAGCTTGCTTATCGAGTAAAAAATAAATTGAAGCTTGGTTGTGGAGCAAAAAATAAAATTAAAGCAGGTTATAATTTCTAACTTGCTGACACTGTCTTTAATTATTATTTAGTTTATTCATTTTAATAAATTAATGTTTTGAGTTTATAGTACACTTATAAATTGAAACGCAATCAGTCATTTGCAACTTATAAACTGAACTGTCAAATTATCTTTCAGTTTGGAATTAAAATTAAAGCTTGCTTATCGAGTAAAAAATAAATTGAAGCTTGGTTGTGGAGCAAAAAATAAAATTAAAGCAGGTTATAATTTCTAACTTGCTGACACTGTATTATACTTTATATTATAAAACTAGGTAAAAGAAATTAAAATTCGTAAAACACTTAAAAATGGTGTCTCTCATAGAAACATAATTAGCATGTAGAAGTTTCTATATCAAATAATAGTTAATTATCAGTACTTTAACGCAATATACTCAAAATTATAAAACAACGTTTCTTCTTCGACTTTTTAACCCATAAAAAATGGTAAAATTTTAAATGAAATTGTCACCAGCGCCCCCTGTATGTTAAAATCTAAAAAAAATAATACGTGGATTTATTGCCACTAATAAGGTCTACATTTTATCTTAATTTCAAATCGATACGATTTTAAATAAAAATGTTATTACAAAATATCGAAATTTATCTATTTTTAACATAGTAGAGTGGCTTAAGGCCTGAAAACCACAGCGGTCAATGGATGAAATTTTTTTTATAATGCACCATTTAGATATAGAAACAAGGTTAAAAAAATATATTCAATTCTGGCATCACTTGCAAACTAAAGTCAAGTCAAATCCAAGCCGGACTCTACATATTATGTAGTACATAAACACATGCGTTGTCCATGCTCTATTCACGTGATCGACGAAAATTGTTGCACTGCGCCGTATTAAAATATATTGAATCAATATTATTAATCATTTAATATTTTAAATTTATTTTTTTAAACTTTAATGTAAACTTTTTAAATTTTTTACGAAAATTATATTTTTTAAATTAACTTCACGAAATTTTTGAAAATTATTTTAAATTTATTGTTTTAAACTTTAATAATTAAAGTTAAATGAAAACATTTATAATAACCTCTTTTATTTCCACACTTAAGTGATTTCTTTTAGACCGTTTTTTAACTGGGTCCTCAAAATGTTCAGCTTCATCTGTGCTAGACATCGCACTTAATTGAATAATAATAACAACAATAAAAACCAAATAACCAAAACAATGATGGCAATAACAACAACAATAACAACAAATAACGTTATATAACAAGTATTAATAATAAAACAATAACAAAAATAACCACAAAGATGAAAGCCGCGAAAATAAGGAAGTAATCAAACAATACGCTATTAATAACCGCAATGGACATAATGCGGCCCTGGCAAGAATTTTCGGCACGCTTCACAACTCAGAATCGCCCAATAAGAACCGTTCTATCCACCTGCAAACGACTGATCACGCGTCTGGCGTTTTTTGTTTTAGTCCGTCTTGGATTTGACTTGACTTTAATGTCCGAAATTTGTTCGATTTTTACGCGAAACCATAGTTAAATAAATTGTCATACATACATCTATAACGGTTAGAAGTACCACATCGATATCGCCGGGTTCATACAAGTCTTTCAAACAGCTCAAAACACCGTGAGAGGTGAAAACTAAGACGTGAGAATGAAAACCCCTGGTGAGCAATGGTGACATTTCCGATAGCAAAATCCCTAGATACTTGGGCCCAAGGGCCAACATAATTTTCTGTAGAGTTTCCCTTGCCACTCTTCTAACGCTCTCCAGTTGAGATTTAAGAAAAGTGCAAAGCTTCATGAAAACACTAAAATAAAGAGTTATATAAACAATTTATTTATTTGCGTTTTAAAAATTACCCAGGAAGATTTACGTCTAAAATTGCCTTTGGTAATCTTTGCAGCAACTTTACTACAGCCAAAGAAATTGGGACTTTTAATAAATCTTCTTCTTCGCGTTCAAAACCAGTTCTTTTTCTGTTCACCTTATGAGAGGTGTCGTGTTGGGTTAAAATAGCTAAGGATTTGTGAAGCTGTGGTAGCAGAACAATCTAAAAACCCACAACAAAATATATTTCCCGACTAAATAAAATGTAAATGTAATGTAATGTAAATGTAATTAATGTAATATATTAAAATGGTTTTTTCTCTAAATTCTAAAGACTAAAAATAAGGCAAATCTGGTTGCCCAATTTAATTTATTATGTTATGGTTGGTAACACAGCGTTCCAGATTCTGTCAAAAAAGTTGCCAAATTTTGTTTAAATTTAGTGTAATTACAAAAATGACAAATTGTTAATTTGACGTTTTTATTAATTGTTGTTGTAATGAAGGTAAATTTAAACAAAATATGGCAACTTTTATGACAGAATCTAGTGCATTTCTTGTAAATTGTAAATACCTTAACTAAGAGAAGTGCTTTTGGATTTATTTACACAAATTGAATGTTTAAAGTTTAACTTGTGAACTTGTCCTAAGCAGCATTTTAAGTAAAAGCGTAGAGGTTTGAGGCAATATTACTTAATTCAATTCGTTAAATTAAACTTAAAAATTTACTTTGAAGTAAAACTTTTTTTAAAGTTATTTAATAACTTTTATTTATGTTATTTTTACACATTTTAATAACCCTTAAGTTTCAACACTTTAAAGTATTACGAGGGACGTAATTTTTACGAAAGAATTACTTAAAAGTGTATTTCACCTAAAGTAAAATTTAACGGTAATTTTAACGTCAGAATTTTTACTTTACGGTAAATGTTACTCGTAAGTCATAATTTTACGATATTAAGACCACTTTATAACCGTAAATAATTCCTATTCGCCTGGTATTTTTTAGGGTTATTAGTGGTAATAAATACTATTAATATTGACTAAACAAAGAAAAATATGCTTAGTGAAAAATATTTTTTTTTAAGATGGCATCCATTACTTATCTAAACATTTATATAATATTTTTTCATAAATATTTTTCTAAAACATAATAAGGAAGGTTTTAGTTATTAAAAAATGATTGAAACTAAAAGATTTTATAAAATTTTGTAGGTTTTAAGTTTTGTTGAATTTTTTCCTAAAACCGTAAAATATTTAGAGGGCATATAATTTTTAAGAGTATCCTGCCTATTTTTATCAATAAAATAATGCGCGTTTAAGTTTTAATGCAAAATATTATTAGTTTTGACAATTTAAGTTGTATTTTTTAATTTTACTCTAGGGTGGCCTTTATTACTTTGCAAGTACCATTTTGTAAAATAAAAGAACAAAGAAATTACGCATGTCAATGTTTTAGAAAGAGAGAGCAAACAGTTAGTAATTATAGCGTTATTTTTACGTAAATTTGTGGTATTTATATATTGTTTTTATTGCGTTATTCTCTTAGTAGATCAAAAAAATACTTTAAAGTTGACTTAGTAGTAAATTTGTAGTTATTTAAACTTAAAATGCTGCTTGGGTTATGTCAAAAGGTATTCAGTATTTTAATATGTTACATTAATTACACACAACACCCTGTTTATTAGGGTGCTCACCAAATTTAAGCTCTTAAAATTAATAGGAAGATCATCCTCATTCCATTTTTTCTTTGGTCCCTTATAAAAAGACCATATTTCATTATTATTTAATCAAATAAAATTTTTATACATATTTTAGTTGGAAATTGGCCCTGGTTCTGGCAGTTAGGCTATTAGCGTTGGTTTCAAGCGGGTGCGATGCACAAAGCGGTATAAAGCGGGTACACGGTAAAATAGTTAATTAACAATAGTTTCGGTAAACATGCGCGTTGGAGGCAATAAGCTGGATATAATATTTAAATAAGTATAATAAAAATTAAACAAAGATCAAAGTTTGAAGAACTGTGATGAGGAGGATCTTCCTATTAATACTAAGAGCTCAAATTTGGTGAGCACTTTCCAAACAACCAATTTTTTGATTTATCGTTTTATTATAACAATTATTAAACTCACCTGTATGGTTTTTATGACTCTGGTGGCTGTGGATTTACATAAACAGGTGGTTTTATCGAAAGCCTTAACTTCTTCCATTTGGGGCTCTTCTTCGTCGTTTTCTTCGTCGATTTCTTTGTCAAGGGCTTCGTCAACGTCCAAATCGTCATCGTCCTCCTTTTCTTCCTCGCTGCCTTTTACAGGAGGGTCCAAATTTTCAACATCCTCTACTACATCTTCAACTTTAGCCAGAACATGCCCTTTGCTCAAGTCGAAATGAAAAGCGTCCAGTATGGCGACAGTCAACCTCACTAGTTGCTTTTGGTGCTCGATTTTGCTCCTGAGTCTGGTGAGGTAGTATTTCAACAGTCCTTCGTACTGATGCCACGGTAAAATCCTGCACACGACGCCCACCGTTTCTATGGCTGCGTCTACCACCGAGTTTTTACTGGCGTATTTCTCGCAGCACAAATAGTGCGTGGCCAGCGGTAAAATGAACTGCGTTAAGGTTCTTGGGTTTGGGGATTGAATTTGGTCCTTTGATATTTGGCAGAATTTCAGGAGAGCCCTTGCGTGACGGTGCAGTTGCAAGTGGGTAAGGTTCTCGAAGAAATCCACTTCCAAATCGACTTTGTTCGTGTATTTGTTGAGGTCTCTCAGAATGAAGTGGCTATCCGGGCACTCTCTCGCTAAGTGACCCAGCAAGGATATACTAAGGTTCCTTACATCGTCGTGTTTGCTTTTGAAACCCCTCCTGATAACGCTGAACAAAGTATCGTTGAGGATGTACTCGATTTCCTTGCGGCTGTTCTGGTATTTCCGTATGAAAACCGGGCATAGAGTCTTGAGCAAGTGCGAGGAATTCTCTCTCAAAGACAAGTCCTTTTCGCTTTTAACCAGGTAAAAGCAATTGTAGATGAGCAGCACGCCGAAGTTTACGTCGAAATCCCCCTCGCAGTGCCTTTGAATGTTCTGGAAGGCGTCGTGTCTCTTCTCGAAGTCCGGCTGCTCGATCCACTTCCGATCCCAAGCGTTCAAGTCGTCAATTAGACCGAACGCGTCGTTTCGGCCTGTTAACTCCAAAATCTGCGTCAGAATTTTTCTGCACGATGGGTAATTTACCTCGCCGAATAAGGGGGATATGTTTTTCAAGTGCGACCCGGGATTTTCAACGTTGCCAATGAGGTTCTTCACCGTGCTCAAAAATTGCTGCACCACCTCTTCCGAAGAGCCAACACAGCATTTTTTGAGCACCACCGGCAAAAGTAAGGCAAGAATTGTATCGCTTACGTCTGCCTCCCAAACTAACTCGGATATCCTGGAGAGGATGAACAATTCTCTCGTGCTGAGGTTCTTATTTTTACCCTCCAATTTCCCGCGGATTTTTTGCAGTATCAAAGGAACGTGCGGAAGTAAAACACAACTACCGTAGTTGAGATTGCCGTCGACTTTAATTCTATCAAGAATTTCCTTCGAGATGGGTAGAAGATTGTCCACTGGGAGTTTTAGTTGATCATCGTCGGGTTGAAGACTCAACAACTTCTCCACCATCTCGAGGATAGTGTTGACGACGGAACAGTGCGATTTTTCGTTCACCAGAAGGTTAACTACATGCGGTAGAATATATTGATCCTTATTATCGTCGTGGTGTTTAACAAGGAGACAGAAATATCGCGGATTCGACCCCCATTGACAAAACAACTTCAGCAGAGAAGTGGGGCTGTGTATGCCTTCCACGTTGAGTTTCTCCAAGTACGGCCAAACGAAAACATCGAAAATGGTGTTAATTTGTGGCGACGTCCAGGGGAATGTATCAAAATGCTCGAAGAACCTATCAAGTATTTTGATGGACGTAGTTCTGACGTTTCTTAAAGCAGGTAAATAACCCACGTGGATGTCTGAATGCCAATCAAAAGCCCCTTTAACGAGAGAACCCACAACGAGTAAAACATCCAAAAGAAAAGCGAGAATTTCATCTCCCATGAGCCCGCCGAATTGCTCCAAAACGACGTTGAGCAAGTTTAGAGAACTCTGCAGCTTTTTTGGCGGCACGAATTTCTCCAAATCGATGCTCTCCAACACACCCCTCGATGTATCCACCGCATTTCCCTTCAAGTAACGCGAATAAGATCTGAAGGACTTCTTCGCGAAACTCAGCATTTCCTTCTCGCGACATCCGGCTAAAAACCGGAACACCGAGCTCCTCCTACCTTGGCCGGAAGCTTTTCCGCCGGTTTTAACGTGCATCTTGCTGAAGACAACCTGCATCACGATGGGGATTAAATCATCGCGGTGCTCCGGCAGCACTAACGAACTGTCTTTGTCGATTTTGAACGCGGTGATTTCGTTTTTGAAGTTCCTATCGTCCACGAGATTGTACAGGTTGTCTTTGTACGGCGTTAAATACTTAAACTTGTACGTCATCAAGCAATCGAGCGCGACTTTTTGCACTTCGGAGTTGCGGTGTTGCAGCAAGTCAAAGTAAAGTTTGTACAAGTCGGGCTCTCTGTACATCGATCTCGGGCTTTTTACTTTCGAGAACACTGTAAGCATGTGCAGCAAGGCCCTGAAATATAACAACAAAAAATATGCAATTACCCTAGTAGCAATTCCGGAAAAGTCTTGGCCCAGCATGGGTCAAGATACTTTGGACAGATTTTTGCTCAACAATTGTACAAGAATTGTTCCAGATTATTGGCCAAGATTATTGGGCAAGACTTGGGCCAGACTGTGACAAGAATTTGACCAGAAATCTGAGGCCATCTATTGCTAAACTTTGGGACTATCCTATAGAGTAGAGGTTCTCATTCTACAGTAGAATACAGTAGGAAATGAGTATAGTTTTTTTGTTTATGTGAAAAAACGAATAAGAGCTTATTGGATTCGTCTTCTAGCTGAGAAAAAAATTGATTTTTTGAAAAATAAAAATTGTTATTTCTAAAAATCAAAAATTAAAAAAAAAGTGTGTGTCAGCTCTGACGCATAACTAGAGTTTACTCTTTATGAACTTGAAAGATTATTAAATACATGTTTATTTTTACGGGCACCTGGTTTTTTTTTAACATAGAAAATTAAAAACTTTAACTCTTTCAAAATTTTTTTCGTTTTTAATTCTATTGTTTACCAGATTTATGGATAAAAACCGAATTTACTGGAAAGAAATCGTGGAAAATTAATGTTTTTAGTAACATTCTTAACTTTTGAAGTTCAACAAAATTTTATATTGACCAAAAATCTTGAATTGAAAGTTCCTATTTAACGTGTAATCGTGTAAAAATTCTTGGCCAAGAATCTGGTCAAATTCTGGTCACAGACTTGTCCAAGTCTGCCACCAGTCTGGATAAAGAATTTTGATCAAGAGTCTTGGTCAAGAATTGTCCAATTCTTTACAAAGTGCTTCTCCAAGTATCTTGACAAAGAATCTTGTCCAATTCCATTGCTACTAGGGTAAACTATAATGTATAATCTTACTTCAAATTTGCCTTTCCGTTATTTTTAGGCGGTGATTTCAAAAGTTTCTTCCTAATATTTCCATCGTCACCTTCAACCTCGTCATCAACAGTTTCGTCCAGTTCGACTGGCGAGTTTTCCTTAATACTACACGTAAGCGCCATTTCCGAGTTGGATTTGGCATATTCAGTGCTAAAACATTAAAAAATTGCACCTGGGTGTAATCAATACAAACCAATACATGCAATCATATTTGATCGGTTATTTAAATAGACTATTCCACTCTTTAATTAATGGACCAATCAGATTTAAGAAAACGAGTGTTTTTTCAGTTTTGCAGCGATAAAACTACCATTTAGGTGTAAAAACCAATGAAATATCAAAAAATATGCGTTTTGGTCAAAAAAATCATACAAAAATTAAATCGGCACTTAAATCTAATTATTAAAAAAAAATATTAGCGAAATAGTCTTGCCGAACACCTCGTGATTATTATTATTATGATTTACTCAAGATTTTATTTTAATCGACATTTCTGGTCGAGATGACAACTGTTAAAGTTACACGTGCAAATATGACATATGTTTGTCAAAATGACAGCTGTCAAAGTTGCAGGTTTCGAAATGACAGCTGTCAAAATAACACCTGCCCAAGTGACACCTGTCAAAATATAGGTGCCTTAATGACGGCTGTCCAAAACACAGGTGCTAAAATGACGTCTGACAATTTCAACTGGGTTGAATTAATTCCGATCGGAAAATATTTAATCGAACTAAATTTTCAATCGGTTTAAATCGACGATCGATTTGATACTATTGAACTAATCGATTCCTCAATTTCTATTGGGATGAATTGGAAAATAGTGTAAAAACCAAGATTTCAATCGATTTTAATCGACGTTTGAATCTCTATTAGAGATTTGAATCTCTATTAGAGATTAAATCTGTCGAAATGACAACTGTCAGAATAGCAATTGTCAAAATGACAGTTGTTAAAATAGCAGCTATCAAAATGACAGGTGTCGGGTGGCGACTGTCAAAATGACAGGTATCAAATTAGTAGCTGTCAAAATGACAGGTGTGGAAATGTCAAAACTGTTCATATATGACAGCGATCAAAATGACAGCTGTCAAAATAGCAACTGTCAAAATGACAGCTGTTAAAATGACAGTTGTCAAACTGTCAAAATGTCAGCTGTTAAAATTACAGTTGTCAAAAAAACAACTGTCAAAATGACATCTGTTAAAATAGCAGCTGTCAAAATGACAACTGTCAATATGACCGTTGTTAAAACAGCAGCTGTCAAAATGACAGGTTTCAAGATGGCAACTGTCAAAATGACAGGTGTCGAAATGGCAACTGTCAAAATGACAGGTGTCGAAATGTCAAAACGGCAGCTGTCAAAATGGCAGGTGTCGAAATGTCAAAATTACAGGTGGCCAAATGGTATCTGTCAAAATGATAGGGCTTAAATAACATCTGTCAAAATAACAGATGACTAAATGACAGCTGTCAAAATGACAACTGTCAAATTGACAGGTGTCTAATTGACAGGTGTCGAAATGTTAAAAGTACAGCTGTCAAATGGAGCTTGAATAACATCTGTCAAAACGACAGGTGACTTAATGACAGCTGTCAAAGCACAGGTTTCAAAATGACAGCTGTCAAAATAGCAGGTGCCCAAATGACAGTTCTACTACCCTTTAGCTTTTTTTTTTAATTCCGCAGCTTTTGTTGAAATGTATTCTTCTCTTCCCAATTGAAATTGAAACCGATTGAAATCTTGGTTTAATAGTTTAAAAATAATTTTACAATTCAAAAAAATTGAAATTGACGAAATCTTGGTTCAACATTATTTTCCAAATTTCCTATTCAATATAATTGTAAACGAATCAAGCAAATACCAAAAACAATTCAAAATACTTAAAAACTCGGAATTTAATCGTTCTGTATCGTTTTCTATAAGCAGGGTTATGTCTATAGAAAGCAATAAACCAATCAGAGCAAGGAATTCTCCACCGCAACTAGATTGCGACTGATAATGCACTTCTCTGATTGGTTAATAACTTTCTATAAAGAGTAACGTCGCAAATTTACTTACTCGATAAATTTCAACAGCAGCTCGGAAACGTCGCGCGTTTTCGCCTCGGCAACGTCCGGAAATGACGTCATAGCTTTCCACAGCAGCAACCGGTGGTTCACGAAATCAGGTTTCGACGTTAATTTTTGCGAGTCTCGGTACAGATCCGCCAAAAACTCGCATTCGGTTTCCATCGCTTCCATTTCGTTTTCACGAGGGGTTTTGATGTTTTGGTCGACGTTTTTTAGCTCTGTCCCGTAAACATCCCAAAATTTGTTCACTTCCAAACCGTGCGCGTGGGTTTGTATGACTTTTATGGTGGGTTCCCACAATAGTTGGAAGTTGATGTAGGTGCAGCCGCATAAATACCTTAAAGGTATCGTTTTGAAGTCCGTTTTGTTGCACATTATCATTTGAGGTTTGTCGAAATTGAGTTTTTCGAGGTTTTGCACCTGCTCTCTGTAAGTGTGCACTTGCGGATCTACAGATTCGATTCTGTAGCACACGCTGAAGGCTTTAAAATCTTCCGCGGGAATTTCAGGATTATCCGAGTGCCGTAATTGGAACTCCTGTATATTCTCGAAAAACGTGTATATGTGAGTTGTGAGCAGTCTTATCTCGTGATGGGGAGAATTTATGTTAACTTCCAAAACATCACTGATTTTCTTCAGAGTTTGTATGGTGATAACTGACTGTTCTTCCCTTAAAACTGTGATGAGTAAATCTACAGCTTTCAAGCTCAAAATGTAGTTCAAATCTGTGCATAATGGCAGCAAAATGTCCAATATTTTATCCAGATTTTCAGTGAGAAAAGTTAATGTTGATAAGTGAGATATACACTCTAAATTATTTAGGAATAAAAACAATAACTTTTTTACGGTACTAGTATTTTCCGCGTTTGTCAAGTTTGGTAATATGAGCTTTAAATTCTCCTCCAATATTTCAATGGCGTCGGTCTTTTCCCCTATGTTGATATGCGGTAAACAAACCAAAGCGCAAAAATGATCATCAAAATTTATTTTACTTAGATCAGTAATTTTTATGAAATCCTTAATAATACAGTACATCAAAGCGTTGGATTGTTTATTCCCAAAATCCAGCAAATATTTATTCCAATCAAAATAACCGATTCCATCTCCACATAACTTGGCTTTTTTCAATATTAATTTAGTTAAAACGTGGAAACATTCTCTATCCAAGTTTTGGGTGACGCAGCTCTTCAAAAACGATGGCAAAATGATTGGTTCAAATGAAGAGTAATCACTAACATTATCAACGTAGTACAATAAAAGCGATTTTTCTTTTAATTGTAAAACTTTTCGTATCATACTGGAAGCTTGATCTTGCGGCAATTTAATGTTTTTTGACAGTAACAATAAAATGCTGATTTGTATGATATTTTTGGTGACCTCCTGAGGAAAATCACTATTTTCCAACAATTTAACTAAAATCTTTACTATGTCTACAGGTTTCTGCAAAACTTTACCGTTCTTGATCTCTATACTACGACCTAGGAGCATTAAAATCAACTTGATATTATCAGAAACACTTATATCTTTCTTTTCCGTATATTTGTCATTTAAACTCTCTATAATGTTAACAAAACCCGCCCACAGTAAGTCACTTTTTTGGGGGTGAATATTGGAAACAACATTCCCAATAAACTGCTCTAATATTTCAAATAAAGTGGATTGTGGCAAATTTTCGTCAGACAGTGATTCCAACAAAAATGGCAACATAGTCGTTGCCGTGCTGTGAAATTGACCATCAACTCCTTTGACAACTTCATATAAAAGTTTACCGCACCCTGAAACTCCCTAAAAGGGTTGAAAAATTTAACTGGGGTGGCAAAATCATGCACTAAATAAATATAACAGGCTGCTCAGAAATTAAAAAAACAAGAATTGTCAAAAATACATTTAAAGCACAGATTATACATCATTTTTAAATAATAATAGTTTTTCACAAAAGAGTGTTAATTAAAAAACTTTTTTAGTACTCGATTTCGATTGATTATTCCTTATATCATTGATTAAGAAACTCAACGCTTAAATGCTTATATAGTTACGTTAGTGTTTGTATTTTATCTAAGGAATCATGGTGAATTATTGTGTTTTTAATTGTAAGTAAAATTCAAGAACTAAATCGTTGCATTTTCATGTTTTGCCAAAGGATCCAACTCGGTAAATACATTTGTTGGTGCAGAATTAACTAATGATAACTTTACCTAATATAATTTATATTTAAGTTTGGACATTTTAAGAAATTAGTAAAAATAATTTTTGCACAAACATAACCTTAAAATCGACCATTTTTATGTTTGAGTTCTCTAAAAAACGCCGACAACTGCATTTTAAACAACAAAATATACCTACGAATTCATGGCAACATAATATTATATATAATACATAATATAATGGTATTTTACCATTGAGTGGAGACTTTTAATATTGCTAAATGCTGTTTAAATTTAGACGACTTATTTGTTTGACGATTTTACTGAATTGAAATGTTTACACTTTTCACGTTAATCACTACTAAAATGTGTATTTATTGTATCTAATGGGTACAATTTATATTTACAGACACTGTATGCAATTTATTTCTTCATTCGGATTAACACGGTTTATTTGAAAACCGGTAAAAACTAAACCCAGAATTTCCTCTCGAAATACACCCAACAACACAACAAATCGAGCCACGGTTTTTTTCCGATGTTTTTTAACATTTTCCGGCTTTATTCTCAAAAACACTCGTTTGTAACATAAGCATTTGACAGCTGATTATTAAATGAACTGTTTAAAAATTTATCTGTCATTTTTGTAATTAAGGTTAATTCACACAAAATGTCCCGATTTTTTTTTACCGAATGTGGTAACCCTGATTTAGACCTAAATTTGAATTGTCAATGACTTTCTTCCATAAAATTTGTCTATTAAATAATAAATGAAGTATTTTAATTTTTTCTTAATTTCTGAGCACCCTGTACATTTTTTTCCCTGAATCTCGTTTTTTTACAAGCAGTAGATTTTAAAAACCGTTTTTTTTTGTAAAATTCATAATAACATTATGGCAACACTGTATATAAGATTAAACTGTCAAATTTGGATAAAAATAGGAATAATTCACAGACAGGTCTGTGGAATAATTATTTTTAAATTTGCCAAGAAATTAAGAATATATGGTATTTATAAAAATACACTTTAAATTCAGATCTGAACAAAAGAAAAAGTTGACTTTTATATATTAGTGTATAAAATTAAAAAAATAAATAAATATAAAACATGAAATACCTAACTTGAAGAAAAAATTGGAAAATAAACAAAGAAATTAAATTTTTTGAATTTTGCAACTTTCCATGGAAAATAATGTTTATAAAAAGCAATACACCAATGAGAGCACAGCATTTTCCACAGCACACTATGTGGAATGTAGAGTGCTGTGCTCTGATTGGTTTATAGCTACAAATGGTTTAAGAAACACAAATAGTATAATTTTAGGTACTTACATCTTTTTTGCTTTTAACAACTTTCAGTAGAAGCTTCAAAAAAGCTTTTTTATCCTTGACTTTTCTAGCGACAAAAGCAAAACTCTCTGCCGCAAAATTGTTTATATATTCTGGCTGACTGTCTGACAGCAAAGGTACCAAAGCAACAAACACCGAGTTTATATCTTTAACGAGTGATCTCCATAAAATTTTAAACAAATACGCTAGAGTAGTAAAAGTCCATTCTAACTGTTCAGTGTCTTTGGTTTGCAATAATTCTATTAAAACTTCCAAAAATTCTGGGTAATATTGGTAGAAATCTTTTTGTAAGTCTTTGGCAACGGCCACAACAATACTAAAAAAATACTCAACGTTTGCACTTAAAATAAACTGAAAGTTACGTACTCTAATAACGGCTGCAAAAACAGGGGATCCTTAAACTTCAAATGCTTCAACAATGTTTGGATAACGTGTTCTTTAGACAACAAAAGTTGTGGTAACGTAATGTAGTTCCTCACATGAACTTCCCTGCAAAACTTTGAGTAACCATCGGTCAAATTTAAAACGCTCCACTTGTCGATGGCTTGGTAAAAATAACACTCGTTTTCCTCCGTTTCGGTTTCATATTCGTGCCCGACTTTGTGGAAAACGTCCACATCGATGTTTGAAATTCTTTCGGAAAAAGATTGGAACTACAAGAAAATGGTTATTTTCGCTTATTTGGGTATTACGAATTTGAACCTTAAAAGTGTTGGCATCTTTATGCCTGGCCGATTTGTTTTTCATCTTGTTTTCAGCCAAAAATCATCTTATTTTAAAATATCTGTCAGCTTCTGTTTACACGTGAGAAACATAACCATAACACAATACATAACCTATAAAAACCGCATGATGAGATTTAAAATGCGACGTTGACATATTTATACAGTTCATTTTTTTAGTTGATAGACCCTGACGAATGGAAATAGGCTAGGTAGGTTATTGTTGCTTATATTTTGGGATTGTTTGGGCATGATGAAATATTTTTTAAGTTTAAAAAGTAACTTTATAAATTTTCTTCTTGGCCAAAATTAACTATATTTAACAGCCATTCCAGAGAATTTGAAACTAAGGAGCACAATTTAAAATTGTTTATATGCAATACCTTTAATATGAAATATTGTGCACGTAGTCTATATTTTACATATCTAATATAAAAATAATATATTTTCCATTATTAGGCCCTTAAAACAATATTTTACTTAATGCGAACGCATCCCAAAAAAATGAATCAAAACATAAGTTATTTAGCAGGCTATTGTTCAGTGATTATGTCATTTATTATACAACTGTCATTATTTTATTTCATTAAAATATTAATTATAAGAGTGTTTGGTGACGATTTTGTAAATCAAAATGGGTAAGTAGTATTTTTTTATTAACTTTATTTATTTTATGTTGTTAGTGTAGCGTCCGTCATCAAAAAGATGTAATACTTAATATTTCTTAATGAAGATAAATAATTTTTGACTAAATTATTTATTTTTAAAAATACACATTTTGCCTCTTGTCGGTATATTAAGCTTTTTTAGATATGTCAAGAATCTATTTTTTTTTAAATTAAACTTTTATGTAGCGTCCGTAAGCAAAAAATGTTTAAGTAGGTAATATTTTTTTAGATTTTTCATTTATCTTGTTTTACGGTTAAATTAGACTAAATTAAAAACACACAAATGCTCATTCTAGCCTTGTTTAAAGATTTTTCGAGAGATTTTCATACCGGTGGAATATTTTTTACAGATCAAAAGGAGAAGCGCATTAAACAAAACAGAATTGCCGCGCAACGTTATAGTCCTTACAGATGTCCTCAAACGTTGGGTAAAGCTTTAAAAAAAGTTAAAAATACTTACCAGGAAGTCCTCGTAAAAGAAAAATTGTAGTGCAGAAGTTAGTTTTACAAACTATCCCCGAAAAGTTGCGTGACGAGAAGCCCACAATAATTCATGGACTTACTACATCTGCTGAAGATGTTAGACTTGTCAATATTTTTTACCTACGTGATGATGTTAGCAGACAGGCCCCAGGAAAGAGAGACACAATAAGTGTCAAAAATCCAATTACTGGTAAGAGAGAATCGTTACAAAAAAGACATCTTATAATGGCGATTAAGGAGGCATTTACACTATTTAAGCAAGAATTCCCAGATACAAATATTCAGATTACTAAATTTTACCAGTTGCGCCCTAAGCACGTTCTGTTATCATCACAAATGTTTGTGCTGAGGATGTTGAAAATATAAAAGAGATGCTGGATAAAAAGTGGGCTAATGTTAAGAAGATTCCTTTTATCTAATCAAAACACTTTTTTATGAAATTAAGCTCCAATTCGTTGCAAACCGCTCAAACAAGAAATTCCAGTTACGAATCGTCTTTTGTATTTAAGTAGTGGCATATTTTACTGTTATTTATTTGTTTAGTGAAGTTTTTATTTGTTTACTTGAATTAAATTGAAAAATAGAATTTTGGTGGAACTTTTGTAGCGTCCGTCATGTAGCGTCCATCATCACATATTTCATGTACTTATATATTATCTATTAAACTAAATACAAAATAAAAATAAAAAATATTTATCTAGTCCAATGCTTAATATATTATAATAAAGTTTAAATTTAATCCCTTATCAATTTGCTAATATTCAGGTGAAACATAAAATAAATTTATTCCACTTCCATTTTTTGTAGCGTCCGTCATCTAAGTTTAAAAAGTAAAATCTTGGAATCCCTAAATGTCAGATAGTTATTTTATATGTTATTTTTTTTTACCTTATCTCCACTTTCAATTTTTAATATTAGCTTTAAAATCAGTTTTAGTTTTTGGGCATTTTTTTTTAAATATTTGACAAGATTTTGGTCAAATGGTAGCGTCCGTCATCATGAAATGGCTGTTAAGTCTTTATTTTCATGAAGTTTTTGGGAAATGAATGCCATAAAATATGTCAATTTCTGGTCAAATGTTATTGGAATTACAACTCATATGTCCAAATAAATATATTGTAAAATATCAAATATAAACTTGGTTGGAAGAAAGTTGACTAACTTCTTTTACAAACCTTGGTTATCTGAGGAAGGCCACATCATTTTTTTTTAAAGAATATATATATATTACCATATATGACCATACCATTTTTTTAAATACCTAGGTAAATGAAACATTTTATTAAATTGCATTTTTTTTAGGAAACACCTAGGTTTTACTTTTATTTATGTACCTATTTATTTTAATATTTTGCAAATTATTTTATTTTTATCTCCCTGTGTTTTTCTACAATTTATTTTAATTTCCATTTTTAGTTTTAATTCTTATACCTTGTAATAATTTAGTGGGGTTTAAAATTAATTTAAACAAATAAAACATTTGGCTTGATTTTTTGACAATTTTTTTTAAAACTTTCTATAAAAAGCGATAAACCAGTACAGTCGACTGTACATTACACCCAGTGTGCTATGGACAATGCCGTGCCCTGATTGGTTTATCGATTTTTATAGAGATAATTTTTTATAGAAAGTTAAATTTTAACAAATGTTAAAAAAAACAATTTTCAAAAAATCAAGCCAAATGTTTTATTTGTTTTAAATCAATTTTAAACCCCACTAAATTATTACAAGGTATAACAATTAAAACTAAAAATGGAAATTAAAATAAATTGTAGAAAAACACAGGGGGATAAAAATAAAATAATTTGCAAAATATTAAAATAAATAAGTACATAAATAAAAGTAAAACCTAGGGAAGGGATCCCTTTTAAATAATTCATGTAGTGAACACTAAACTAGTATTTTTTTGTCCAACAATGTTGGTAAAACTGGGGTTTTCAAAAATGTGTCGGTTTTTACTAGTATTTTTTTGTCCAACAATGTTGGTAAAACTGGGGTTTTCAAAAATGTGTCGGTTTTTATTTTATAATTGTATGTATGTAATATGAATTCGATTTTAATATTTTCAATGCTAAAAATATGAATAAAAACAGGCATCTGATGAATTATAATTCTAGTTCATAAGTAATTAAGTATGGCCTAAGTCAGTCTCTCTTTTATATTACACTTTGTAGGTATGTATATATTATTTATTTATATATTCACTGGGTACTTACGTATTTATTAAGTATTTTATTATCGTTTGATAAGTATTTTATTATCGTTTATATATAATTAATACAAATTAGGAAACATGTGGGTTTTATGGTCGCTAATATCCAATTTATACAAATCATGCCGGATGCCCCGATATTTCTCCAAAATCATTTCGATCTCTCTATAGTTTTCAAAAGTTTTTTTTTAATAATGATAATATGACAGTGAAATGTATTTGTCGTCCCCTTATTAGAAAATTTTTCGAAATATTAATATATATTTATTTAAAAATATGAAATAAACAATTTGACCTCTAAACCATAAGTTGTATGACATTATTTCAAAAAAAGTAAAATTGGAAAATTTTGTAGGAAAACTCAGATTAGATTGAAGTTTAAGATAGTTAGGATTATTATAAATACATAAAAATGTTAATTTAGAAATAAAAAATCGGCATCCAAAATTAATAAATATTTATTTTTAACATAAAATAAAATACCTATAGTAAAAGTATTTTTGTTATCGAATATTGTTTTAATTTAACAAATAACTATAAAAAATATTTTGGATTGTGTTTTTTACTTAGTATTTAATACTAAATACTAATTAGGTACTTAAGTATGGGTATAAGTATACCTTTATACGTAGTTTATGGTAGGTATATTTTACTATTATATTGGTATTATAGGTAACTGAACTAAATATGCTTAGCAGGAATATTCCTAAATGAACTCTCTATATAGCTGTAGCAATTACTTTCTTAACATTCTAAGCATATCGTGGGTTGAGTATTATATTGTTCTATAAATCCAAAATGAAATTGTTGGGGAATGGCGATTAAATATTCCAGGCTCATTCTAATACCGTTTGTAAAGATTTTTATAATTTGGACTCATATCCTTAAGAATTAAAAAATGTATACATTATATTGTCCCTATTTGAACTTATTTCTTCCAATACTGGGTTTTACAAAATAAACAATTTTTGATAGAACATTTTTTTTTTATTGAAAACGAAAATTTTACACAAAACATCAGATTTTGTTCTAACAGCATACAAAATTCTTTAAAACTACAAGTTTTTAGTTCTAAAGAATTCCAAAACTTTAGGGTTCTAAGAAGTATCCCTTAAATAAGAACATACCTACGTATTCTTTTTTTTTAAATTGCACCGCACAACCACGTGATTATTACTTGCATACAAAACTGAAACAGCAAAAATTATATTGTTCTAACAGATCAAAATTCTCTTCTCTCATTGGTTGGTCTGTTAGGATATTATAATTTTAAACCGTTTTTAAATAAGTGCGATAGAACAATTTAATAATGCTTTTTTTTAGTTTGTGTATTAAATTAAACAGGCATTTTTATATACATACAACAGAAATTTTATGTACTATTTTTCTATAAAAAAAGCCGATTTCGCGCCAAAAGTGCTGTTAGAACATTATAATACTCAATGTACATTCTTAGAATAAAGTGTGCTATCAGGGAGGGAAGTAGTCGGCCCACGTATCGCACTTATATCGCGACAAAACCACAAGGATATCTCGCCAAAACCAAATCTAACACCGGGTAATTTTCAAATGTCCTAAAAATGTCAAACACAATAGACGCAGACTTGTTGACTGTAGAAAAATTCGAACTTTACTACATGCCGATTTTAGTAACAACCGGCCTGATAGGAAACTCGCTTTCCATCCTCGTGTTCTGCAAGACGGAGCTGAAAAAATTGTCGTCGGCGTATTTCTTGACTGCGCTCGCTATAAGCCATAACGTATTCTTGTGCTCGTTATTCACGTTTTGG